ACTACACCTTACTGCTGGTAAATTGCGCTACTTGCTGCAGATACAGCTGTCGTGTTATATGCCTCATGCATACAAGACAAAGCAAACTATAAAATACAACTGGATTATTACAGACTGCAGCACATTACAGGGTCTGAATTTTACCTCAAGAAAACATATTTGATTTAATTTTTTTTTTTACTTTATTTACCTTCTTCCTTCTTGGTCAGATATTAAGATAAATTCTATTTTTTTTTTTTTTTAATGTTGCATATGACTCCCTTTATATTGGATACAAATCTACCAATATAAGATATTTTTAACAATACCATGTAAATACAACAGGTTTTAGAAACAAAAAACCCCAACAGTACGGTCATCCACCTATATTCTTTAAAACATACAGCCTATGGTTAAAAACAGACAAGTTCGTTACTTATGCAGTAGAAATTCTAAAAAAGTTTACGGACAACTATTCTGTATAACAAAATATTATAAAATAAAAAGGTTAGAAAAATAAATAAAAATACAGCTTGAAAGTTTTTTTAACATTATATTGTAGTGCAGCTCATTAGTGTACAATGTAGTTGCTCAACGATATATACCAGTACATGCAGCTAGTCAGTTTAAAAAACAAAGCAAAATGCATGACAGCGCATCTAACAAAAAACGGGTCTTAAAAAAAAAAAAAAAAAAAAAAGCAGCAAGGGAAAACCTTAGGTGTGTCTCATGCTCTATGAAATTTGCCAATTTTACCACAGTAGTTCTTTTTATCGATTTAAACACTTTTGTCATGATGTTAAGATCTGGCCTACTTGTTATCTCATCTCTGATGGGCACTTTAACCTTCCCTAGCGGTCTGATTATTTCAGATTTTTGGTGCTGAAAGTGGTACCATTATTTTGCATGGAAATATGTAGTTTTTTTTATTGTAGGCTGTAATTTCTAGGAATAACTCATTGAAATCTGTCCGAACAAGAGTCTATTAAACATCCCAGGTATGATAAAATTTGAAACACGAAATCATAAAATATAATTTAATAATCATAAAAATAATATAATACATTTAATTCAATAATATAATTAAACCAAAAACACTGAAATTTGAAATAGAGCGCCAAGTTCGCACATTGCTGAGCAAAGTCACAAAAATGTTTTCAGTGTCTGATGACAAATTTCCCCACGAATCATTATCACACAATTCTGCAAGTGGTTCTGACTTACTATCGCTGTTCTCTAGCTGATCTAAACCTACTTTTGACCTAAAAGGGCAAGGACACTTTTTGGACGCCATGGACGTTTTCTCAGTTTCCAGGCAGAAAGAACAGACAAAATGCAGGCAGGGCACAGGACAAAGCACTAGGGACAAATGCAAATGTATGTGAAATGGGTTGAAACAGCAATGTTTTGCTATGTAAAATTTGTTTGGAAAAAATGACATTTTTAAAAAAATTTTAAAATTTTTCACCGCCGGCGCCCGTACGTCCCGACGTCACAGGGACCGGAACACAGAAGCCGGATGCCAGCATCGGCCGGAGGAGATGGCCGGGGACGCTGCAGGGGACACATCGCAATAGCAAAGGACAAGGTAAGCTCTGCAGTGACATTTTACCTCCCTATGCAGCGCCGCATGGTAAGCCCGAGTGTAGAGGGAGGGGTTACCGCTTTTGGCAGGGAGGGGGGGACATTTTAGAGGGAGGGTGAGCTACAGGGGGGGGGGGTGAGGGAGGCCGCTAGGGAGGGGGGGGGGGGTGAGAGGGAGAGAGGGAGGGGAGGAGGGGGGGGTGAGAGGGGGGGAGAGGGAGGAGAGGGGGGGGGGGGGGTGAGAGGGAGGGAGGAGTGAGGGGGGGGTGTGAGAGGGGGGGAGGGGGAGGGAGGGGGGGGGGGGGGGGTGAGAGGGGGGGAGGGGGGGGGGGGGGGGGGGGGGGGGGGGGGGGGGGGGAGGGGGGGGGGGGGGGGGGGGGGGGGGAGGGGGGGGGGAGGGGGGGGGGGGGGGGGGAGGGGGGGGGGGGGGGGTGGGGGGAGGGAGGGAGGGGGGGTGGTGAAGGGAGGGAGGAGGGGGGAGGGAGGGGGGGGGGTGGTGAGAGGGGGGAGGGAGGGGGAGGGCGGGAGGGGGGGGAGGGATGGGGTGCAGGGAGGGAGGGGGGGGGGGGGGCGGGGAGGGAGGGGAGCGGGGGGGGGGGGGGGGGAGGGGGGGCGAGAGAGGGAGGGAGGGGGGGGCAGGGAGCGAGGGAGGGAGGGGGGGGGGTGAGAGGGAGGGAGGGGGGGGCGAGGGGGGGAGGGGGGGCGGGGGGAGAGGGGGGGGGGGGGGGTGAGGGAGGGCTGGGAGGGGGGGGGGCGGCGTGGGGAGGGAGGGGGGTGGGGAGGAGGGGGGAGGGAGGGGGGGGGGAGGAGGAGGGGGGGGCGGGGCGGGGGAGAGGGGTTGGGGGCGAGGGGAGGGAGGGGGGCGGGAGGGAGCGGTGGCGGGGAGGTCGGAGAGGGGGAGGGAGGGGGGGGGCGGCGAGGGAGGGAGGGAGGGGGCGATGGGAGGGAAGGCGGAGGGGGGAGAGAGAGGGAGGGGGGGGCGAGGGGGGGATGCGGGGGGGGGGGTGGGGAGTGGGGGGGGGCTTGGGCGAGAGAGGGAGGGGGCGCGCGAGGGGAAAGAGTTACGCTCCGAGGCGGGGGGGGAGGGGGGGTAGAGAGAGGGGGGGGGGGGGGGGCCTGTAGGGGGGGAGGCGGTGTTGAGGGGGCTAGGGGGGAGGGAGGGAGGGGAGGGGGGTGAGAGAGGGAGGTTGAGGGGGATAGGGGAGAGGAGGGAGAGGGGGATAGGAGAGGGAGAGGGGGAGAGGGGGAGGGAGAGGGGGATAGAGGGAGGGATTCTGAGGGGGATAGAGAGAGGGAGGGGGAGTCAGAGGGGAAGGGGGGTTGAAGAGACCCCTGCCTGTCCCTGTCTGCAGTTCCTCCTGTGAACCCCCTTGTCCCCAGTACCATCTGCTGTGTGTGATAAGGTGTGTGAGATGCTCAGTATGATACCTTCCATGCCAGCAGGATGTACATGATTAAAGATAGCCAGCAACGGGCAGGGTCTGGTCTTGCTCTTGGTGAGGACAGGAGGTGCTCTACTCCTTCCAGCGAATCTATGTGATGTGAGATGGAGCAGTCCCTGGCCACCTGCACCTCCAGTCCGTTCCCGTTCTCTGGGATCCTAGTAAGTCTGTGTTCCGGTCCCGGGAGCAGAGAGGAGGTTGTGTGAGGGGGGGTGTGCCTGCGTCCCAACATTACCATAGCAACATCGGACGCAGACAGCTAGACGAGCCACAGGACACAAGTACTGGGGAAGGCGGGAGAACCTCATACAGTACAGTTTTGATCGGTTAAAAGAAAAGGGAGTGATAGAAGGTGCTGGAGTGGCCAGTTAATGGGCAAGGAGTAGCCAACAATAACACTCACCCCCATGTTATTTCCACTCGCCAAATGCGAGCAGGCGAGTGGAAATTTTAAGCCCTGTATTAGGAAAAAGATTATTATGGATTTCTCTAGCCCAGATAGCCAAGTATGAGCAAACGCTATGATGGAAATGGCCAGCTACAAAAAGGCATGGTCTTCCAGTGCAAAGGAGAACTTCAGAAGAGTCTCCAATAAATTGTTGGTGACGACAACTCTTGAGTTTCCCCCACCAGAATGTCCACATCCCTCTTGGTTTTTACTATACCAAGTGTCAGGCAAATCCTGGGTTTTGCCCATCGTGACTGATAGGCCCTAGCTGATTCCCAAAGTGGCAACAGTATGTTGTGTGGATGTAAGGGAGCCCAAGTCAAGTGTTAGGCCTTGCTCCAGAACGACAGAACCACCATCAACTTCCTCTGCAAAGGTACTCAGAATGGATGTAGATTAAATGGCTCAGCGTGTCCAGCACAATGGGATCGTGGCAACCAGGTGCTAACAGGAGTCCGGATGGTTGTGCCATTTATGAATCTGACAACAGGTGGGACGGCAAACTATCAGCTTGTGGTGTGAACAGAAAACTGGTGGCTGGAAGTTTACAGCTAGGTGTCATACTCTTACATTTTAATAAGATTACCCATTATGTCAAATAGCAAGAAAATAGAATTACGCAGAAGCAAAGAGTGCAAGTCCCATAAGTTTGTGCCCTATGAACAGCTTGTATGCTTAGCACTGCAGTATGTCTTAGGAGGATAAGGATGTAGTATATTATACAAAGCCATCAAAACATGTAATCCAGGAAATGGTATGTATGTGGGCACAGGAAAAAAACCTGTCTTACCTGCCCAAGTTGCTTGTCCTGTCCAAAGTCCAGGTTTTGCCACAATGATGGGCATAGCCTTAATAGGGTGTTCAGGGTCTGGGTGGATGGACCAGAGCCCTGGAACTGTATAGTGTCCTGTGGAAACTGCTGAGCCATGAAGGCAGTAAGCAGTCATAGTAGCAAATTCTTGCCCAAGAGAAGGCATTTCATCTAAAAATACAACCAAAAAAAACTGGAGCCTCATGGAGTGGGAGGGGTTACACAGGGGCACTAGTCAGCAGAAACCAAAGTTTTATTTCCCCCCAGTTTCCAATCACTTGAAGTTTGCAGTATAGAACCCAGTCTGAGCTTAATCCTCTGTCCTGTACTTTGCAATAAAGATAATACACTTAATGATGTATTAATGATTACAGAGTTGCAATAATGTGTCTTTTATATCTGCCTAGAGTTTAACCATTTCATGACCAGAGGTCAAGAGCTTAGATGCCCAGGGCAAAACTTAGTAGTGCCAGTTATCTTGACTAGCGCGATGACTAATCTGTCAGTATAACACCAAGGTCTGAGAATGCTCACAGGTGTGCACTCTATTTTCTATCATTTCTGCAAAACTGATGTTCTAATGGCATGGGCCATTGTATGAGATGACCTACAAAGTAGTATTTAGTGGTCACAAAGTTATGCTTTCCATTTGAGCAGTAAAAAGAAGAGTGTAAACAAAAAGTTTACATTTCAGTGCAAGGAAAGACATAGAAGATAGACACAAAAGTCAACTTACTTGGTGGAGTACTGAACAATGGTGGCTGGTGGTGACTGGGCATCCGGTATACATTTACAGGGTTAAAAGCTCCAGGTGGTGGGGCATTGCTGTACAGTCCATCTCTCTGATGCCCCCGGGCTTGTGGCAAGGAATGCCTAAAATGTAAAAAGTACATTAACATTAGAAATACCATTAAAACTGAAACATGCTCACAAGAGCTTGCAATTCAAACAGAACTAAATGCTGGACACTTTCCAAACTCTGCTTAATGCCCCACTCCAGGCAAACCCTACCACCCCTGGCAAAAAGTATGGAATCGCCACTCTTGGAAAATGTTCAATCAATTGTTTAATTGTGCAAAAAAAAAAAAAAAAATCACAGACATGCCTCAAAACTAATTTTCATTTCACATTCCAATCTTCTGGCTTTAAGAAGCACTTAAATAAAAAAGAAAAAAAAAAATGTAGTCGATAGCATCTGTTTTTGCAGAGGAAAAAAAAATATGGAATCACTCAAGTCTGAGGAAAATATGGAATCACCATAACTTTGCAGTTCTAAAACAAACATCTGCATCAGATTACATCTGCTAATTAGTCTGCAGTTAAAAAAAAAAAAAAAAAAAAAAAAAGTGTTTGCACACCTTAGTGAGCTGTTGTAACAAGCTAATTGACAAGAATCATGGCTCCAACACAAAAGATGTCGGCTGAAACAAAGGAGAGTATAAAACTTCAAGAAGGTAAATCATGGAATGTTGCAAAAGATATTGGTTGTTCCCAGTCAGCAGTGTCTAAAATCTTGACCAAGTACAAATCAAAAGGGAAGGTTGTAAAAGGGAAGCGTACCAGCAGACCAAGGAAGACATCAAAGCGCCAAGAAAGACAACTTAAAGCAATGTGCCTTTAAAACAGAAAATGCACAACAAAACAAATCAGGAACAAATGGGAAGAAACTGGAGTCAATGTCTGTCATCAAACTGTAAGACATCGCCTAAAGCATATGGGATTTACATACAGAAAAGCCAAATGAAAAACCATCATTAACACCTAAACAGAAAAAAACAAGGTTACAGTGGGCTAAAGAAAAGCAATCAAGTACTGCGGATGACTGGATGAAAGTGATATTCAGTGATGAATCAAGAATCTACATTGGGCAGGGTGATGATGCCGGAACTTTTGTATGGTGCCGTTCCAATGAAATGTATAAAATACAACTGCTTGAAGAAAAAACGCACATTTCCACAATCATCGATGCTATGGGGTTGCATGTCTGGTAAAGGTACAGGGGAGATGACAGCCATTAAAGCTTCAATAAATGCACAAGTTTATAACGTTTCCGGTTTCCATCAATTGAAGGGATGTTTGATGACACTTTTCAGGATAATGCATCTTGCCATAGGGCAAAAGCCATGAAACGTTCCTTCAAGAAAGACATATGTCAATGGCATGGCCTGCAAAACAGTCCGGACCTCAATCCAACTGAAAATCTATGGTGGAAATGAAAGAAAATGGTCCATGACAAGGCTCCAACCTGCAAAGCTTATCTGGCAACTGCAATAATAAAAAGTTGGAGCCAGACTGATGAAGACTACGGTTTGTCAATAGTTACATCCATGCCTCAGAATTCAAGCGGTTGTAAAAGCCTGTGCTGTAGTGTTTTTTTTTTTTTCATGATTCCATAATATTTTCCTCAGAATTGAGTGATTCCATAATTTTTTCCCTCTCTGCTTGATTTGCAAAAAACAGTTTCAACTGACTACAGTTCTCTTTTATTATTTATTTTTTAAGTGTTTCTTAAAGCCAGAAGGTTGGCATGGTAAATGAAAGTTGTTTCGTGGCATGTCTGTGATTAGTTTTTTTTTTCTACACAATTAGACAATTGAATGAACATTTTCCAACAGTGGTGATTCCATACTTTTTGCCAGGGGTTGTATAATCATTAGACTGGTACAAGAATGCCATGTAATAATGACTCCAATTACCTCTTATTCATCTGATCTTGCAGAAAAGTAATCCATCAGAGGCTTTCCATGAACTGTTTTCTGTCCAAGAGACTTGACATTTTTGCATGCAGTATACAGTATATGCAGCAGGGAATCCGGTAGCCTAGCCACCCTGTGTAGTTTTATCTTCCCTAGGCCTTAAGTAATTCATATCAGTAGAAAATTTGGGTTGGTTTAGGCAGCCTCTGGCAGTACTGCCCACCACCGTCACTCACTGCCGTCCTCTGCCTCACTGTATTAGCACACCCAGCGCTAAACTGCCTTCACTGTAGAGTGTCCTGGTGCTGCACGTTGCCTAGCAGGTCAGCACATTGACAAATTTAGGTTGCATCAGATTCTTCTACTTGCTGCCCATATTTGCCTGACTCAATCTTCTTGTGTCCTTCTCCATGAGCTATTCCCTCATGTTTAGAAACCAGCAGCTGCAGGGTGCTGTTCAGCAAAGAATAGCTGATGGTTCTCTGGAAGTTCTGCCTCTCTCTGCCTGTGTCTCACCCAGTACACTATTACTCCGCTACACAAACTTTCATCTGTCGAGCGGCATTCTGCAGCTAGTAGTTTTTGGGGAAGGCTCTTAAATTTTGGTAACCATGTAAATTTACACATTTAAATTTTCTCCTATGTTGTAACTCTCCTTTGAAACCATTTTGTTATAATCAAGGTATTGCAAGAACAACATGTCCTGAATTCCACCTGCAATGATCTCTCCCAGGATCCCTTCAAATTTGCATGACACTTGCATTTGGCTCAAAAGTGGCCTTCATATACATGCAAGAAACAAGAACATTTTAAAAGGAATGCCTTTTTTCAAATAAAAAAAGACACATTTTAATTCCTTATGTACATAATTTTAGATCCCGAGTCACTGTGCTGCACAGAAAAACTAATTTGGGCTGCTGACACTGGTTCATCCATTTTGAGAGGCAACACTTAATTTCACCACAAAAAGGTACGTTTATTACTGGGAGTTGTTTGGAGCAGAACCTTTGCTAAGATGTATGCTTATTCTTCATTACTTTACTGCTTCCCCTGATGCTATCCTTATTTACTGTAACATCATAGCTAAAAGACCATGCAACCAAATTTCGCTATTAAATATTCTATTAGCAGTGCAACACATTAAAGCCTTATCCCTGCATTCTGTGAGCAACTTGCTGCACAGCCTTTCCGTAAGGCAGAGTGTGAAATCTCACTTACGGGATTTAGTAGCAATAGTAAGGGCTTTGTTTACTTTTGATTAGTGGTGACAGTCACATTACTGAGAAAAGTCAAACAAGGTGTTAAAAGCTGCTGTCAGAGCGGTTATAAGTGCCACAATCATGCTAGCGAGTGTCCCTGGATGACAGCCAAGGTTGTTGGGGCTGCGATCTGGGACCAAGAAGGCAGCGACCAGAAGCAATCTCAGGTCTGAAGTAAAACTTTAGGCAAAAAACATTTTCTTCCATCTTGGGTAGAGCAAGGGAGGGTTATAAGCCCTCTTAATTTTCGCCATCTGTGACCCGGTGGAGATTCACCTTCACTTCCTGTACCATAGCCAAACAGGAAGTGAGAGGAAATTCCTGCAAATTAATGGAATTTTTGGGGACCCCCCCGGTCACCAGAACTAGTGTCCCCAGTGGAAGATCCCCCTCTTTGACGACAACTGAAAATTTGGGATTTTCCTTTACATTTTTAATAATGGTAAACAGGACAAATAGAGAGGTGAAATCTCCCCAACGGGGGCTCGGACAGCAATAAAAACTGCAAGTGTTCTAATCCCTCTCCACTCTGTCCAGCACTAAAAAGAAATAAATACATTTTTGCCTTTAGTCACACTTTGACTGCATTATATATAACTTTGCTTAAAATGCTATATGAATTATAGGTGCCTTTTATAAAAGAATCCTGTCACATGATCACATAGGCTGAACCAAACACATACCTGTAAAGAAGATAATGGATACTTGCCTTTTTTGCTGCCCACTAAATGCCAATCGCTAGATATGGCCCATTGAATTCTGTTGGGAAACGGACACTTCTGGGAGTGTCAATCTAAGCAGCCCCTCTCAGCTCTCACTGGTTTCTCCTACTGATCTCCATACCACTGCAGGAGATAGCAGTGATGTGGAGGTTAGTAGGTGGAACAAGTGAAAGCTGCAGGGGACCACGGAGTGTCAGCTTCCTGGTGGACTATTTCTAGTGAATGAAGCAGGGTTTAGCAGCAGACAGCAGGGGAAAAACAAATTAGTCTCTTCTTTACATAAAAGTGTTTGGTGGAGAGCAAGCCTCAAAATTTCCACTCACCTGCTCGCATATGGCGAGTGGAAAAATGTGGGGGCGAGTGTGTGTCCCAGCATCGGAGGGCAGTGGGTGCTGCCGTAACATCAAAGCAAACATCTCTCAGTGTGACCGATGTGCAGGGGGGAAGGAGTGAGCGAAGCAGGCAGAAGGCAGAGAATGCAAGGAAGCAGCTGAAAACTTTCCCCTAGCACATTGGAGCTTGGTTTTTCTCCCCCTGTTTGAACCCAGCACCGTCTAGTGAGGCAAGAACAGTGTACAAGTGGATGGCAGTGGTTCTTGCACTGGGCAGCGCCTATTGGGGTGCTATAGCACCCCCATAATCACTTGCTCCGGGTGCCAGCAGGAAAAGATTCACAGATTACAGCCCAGGTCTCCTGCTTGTCACGATAAGCTGTGCTCCTGAGTGCCATCCCCATGCCTGCCCCTGTAAATACATGTGCTTCTCAAGGAGTATACAGATACTTCCTGTAGCTGTACACCACACCAGCAGCCCGCCAGGACATCACATAATTATAATGTAAATATGCTGTGCATTATGCTGGAGAAAGCACACTCTAGTGTTTGTGGACCATACTGTAATATCTGCAGTGGAGCAACCGTTTGGGGTGGAGCATACTGTAATATTTGGGGTGGTGGAGCAACTCATATTTTGCAACTTTATTCTGCATAAAACATTTAAACAGTGTCTTTTCATGAGATAATTTACAAGAGCATGTTTAGCGGGGCTGGGGCAGGATAGGGAATGAAAGGGGCAACTGGAGGCAAGTAACTCTTAAGGCCTGGCTAGTAGCCCTGACTTGAAATTCTGAGCCCTGATGGCGAGTATTTGATTATGTAAGTTGCATTAAAATACAAAAAAAGGTTAGTTGTGACTAATAATGCCCAATATTAACTTCTGAGTCTTGGAAGATAATTATTGGCTTTCTCTAAGTGTTATGACATGTATCAGATTTTCCATGGTTATCATATTCAAGATTTCCATCACATTATTCTTTGGCACCTTTGCATAACATACAAATTTCAGAAAATCTACAGAAAGAACAAAGCTACTTACCCCAAAGTCCTGAAAGCAGATTGCTCCAAGTGAACTGGCTTGCGGTCAGAATTGAAGCCAAGGCGTGGTCTCCAGGGCCTGCCATTGTTGTTAGTTCGCTCCCAGTCGCCAGGCTTTAATGTTACCGGTGGTTTCCTATATAAAAAATACGGCAACATTGAACAACTCTTAAAAAGAAGAAAATATTCTATATACATCCTTTGCTTCAAAAAACAATTACTTACTTTGCCCCTGCCAGAACTACGGCTTTGAAGACATAGCCATCTTCATATTGTGGGTCATTAAATTTGATGCTAAAATAAATAGAGAATGACGTCATAAAACTGAATGCACTGTGTATATATATGTATGTATATATATATATATATATATATATATATATATATATATATATATATATATATATATATATATATATATATATATTATAGAGTTCACACAAACTGGGTTATGTACAGTTAATTCATACCCTACGCACCAAAAAAGCAATGCCATCATTAGGGTCAGGTTCACACTAGTGAAGAGGCAATCCGATTTTCAGTGAGATTATGTAAATTTATTTGCTTTTTGACACTCTTGTCCCCCCCTTTCCTGGCCTGCCAGATTGCATTCTTGGATAAGGGTATGGTATATATTCTGGGAGGGACCCCACTCCTATTTAATAATTTTATTGTCTGGCTCATTTGTTCACATTCTGCTGACAGTTGGGAATCCCCGATGACAGGAGGGATGAGTCATTGGTTGTTAGGATTCCGATGCATGCCAGCTTCTTAACCAGCAAAAATGCGGCAAACATGCATGTATATGCGTTTGATGTCTAAATGATCAAAATCAAAGCTTTAAACTAAACAAGTGTGACCCGGGCTTCAGAGAAAGATTAATGAGTTTTCATACAAACCTAATAGCATAATTTTGACTCAAATTCCGTAACATGGGAACAGGAGATTCCACAGTCCTGAAATTGAACAAAAAGTACTTAAATTGCATCTAAAAACAAAATTCAAACGAAAGTTCAGTTATCTACAAAATACAAGAACAAAGTTTATATAGATCTACAAAGAGGATATTCGGATACACTGCATGACATATCTATGGCACCAAAACACTCAGATGGGAGTCACTTGTGCATTGTAGCGTGTCATGTTTAAACAAACAAAAAAAAAAAAATCGTGCCCAATTTTTCTGCATTATTGTGCGCTGCCAGCCCGTTCACATTGAAATGGCTACGCTAAAGCGGAACTAAAGTTCCACAGTCACATCTCCAGCATGTAAACTGAGCTGCACAAGTTCAGCTTACATCACTGGCACAGTCCCTGTGTGCTAGTATGACCAAGTCCTTAAGCGCAGGACTTAAGTCACCCCATGTCAGCCAATGTCGTGGCCCAAAGAACAGCTCTCAGAAGAAGATAGCAGTGAGGGATGGAGACCGTTGATGGAAAGAAAAGTTTAGCACCACTTTAAAGCAGTTTTCAACCCCAAAACAAAAATGTAATATATGGAAGGTTACAAATCCTTGTGGTGGCTGCATTAGTTTTCTTTTTTGAGGGCTTTTCTCCTTTAGTTCACTGGGTGATCCTGCCTGTAAGACATTTTCTGCCTTAGGGTATTTGCTTTACTATTTCATCCAGAATGCAGATACCTTTGGATAACAGGATAGTCAGTTGGGGGAGGGGTTCCTGAACACAGCCTCTACATATGCAAAAATACACCTATTATGCCTGAATTATGAATAAAAAAAATTAAAAGTTTTTGAAACTCTGGGAAGGTAGAAGAATGATATGTAGAACCCTTACTTAATAGGAAAAGTATTTTAGTGAAGAGGATAAGTATTTAACACCCAGAATGAGAATGTACAGCACGTATTGTTAAAATTGTAACTAAAAGCGTATTTCTGTGAAAAATAAATACATCTCTCCATTTGTCTGAATTTTCCATACATGAACATAAGAGCAATAAATAAATCAGATACATTTTTCAAACACGATGTCAACATTACAAAAAGGAAATGTAGTTTCCTTACACATTTGGAAGAACAGCTCCATCATCAGTATCCATTTTGCCCTGAATGCCATGGCACAGTTCAGGTGGAATATCTGTTAGCTAAGGAAAGACAAATATAACTGTAAATCAAGACATTTTTATGAGGTTATTGCAGTTCAGCATAAAAAGTGGCCAACAACTGAGGAAAAAAAAAAAAAAAAAAAAAAAAAACACACCCTCCCCAACTTGGACCCTTAGTGATCAGCGGTTTTGAAATCTTCTAAAGAAGGCTATTCAGACACTTGCCTCGCTGAGGTGATGGTTATAAAGAACCATCTTGTGAATGAGGGTGAATGTAAAGTCTCAAATGGCTTCAAACTGTGGTTTCTGAAGGGCAGAGAGAACCAGATTAAGATTCCATCGAGTCACAGGAAAAAACGGTCAGGTGGAGCAACAAAGGAAGACACCAGTGCAAGTGTCTTAATCAAACAGTGTAATGCCAACAGTGCTCTGAAACAGAAGGGACAGAAACTTGACCCTTAATAGTGCAGAGATTCAGACACTGGCCCAAGCCCAGCTAAGGAAGGAGAGAACTTGGAAGCCCCAAGACTCGTGAAAAAAGTGGCAGTTGGTTACACTACGTTTCAGTTAGGGGTATTAGAGTAACGGGCTGAATACAAATGCATGCCACACTTTTCAGATATTTGTAAAGTGTTACAAACTATTTATCATTTTCCTTCCACTTCACAATTATGTGCCACTTTGTGCTGGTCTACCACATAAAATCCCAATAAAATACATTTAAGTTTTTGGTTGTAACATGACAAAAATGTGGAAAACTTCAAGGGGTATGAATACTTTTTCAAGGCACTATAGTTAAAGCCAGTGTCTGTGAAGCAGGATGGAGAATCGGTCCTTGGCACAGAAGATCTTGATGATAAAAAGGAGCCCACAAAGCATCAGCCAGCAGTCTTACCAGATTGTCGTACCATATCCACCAGAACAAAAACTAGAAAAACAAGAATTACTGGAATGCTCTTCATCTCGATCCTGTGAAGTAAATGAGGAAGACGTTTGGAGGAAAGGCATAGCTCAGGCTGTACTGATATCACGGAGCCATCAGTCATACATTAGAGGATCCTAGTAAATAGAGACATGTCCTCCTGTTTTTATGTTTGAACCTGGAGGCCAGGATGTACACATGCGGCATCCTCTACCTTTGACACAGGTCCTGGAACACACTCCTAGGTACTGGTAGACGCTGCTGGTTAAAGCCTGCAGACAACTGTCTATGCCTGGAATGTGAAGTTCTGCCCAAGATAGGATCTGATATCTCTTGCTGTGGTGAGATTTCTGGTTCCTCTCTAATGATTGATGTACACCAGTAGTATGGTCTAATGCTGTAGAGACAGTCAAATTGCACAAAGTTCCAGGATGTTGATCAGGTAAAGGGACTCCTCTGACAAACAAGTCCCCTGCACTGACAGGTTACTGTAAGAACTCCTTCCTAACCTGTTGTAAGCACCCTCCAAATGGATAGGAAGGAGTTCCCTCTCTTAAAAGCCAGATTCCTAAGCCACAAGGCTAGAGACTTGTCCCACTACAACAGAATGTTGCGATGTAGAGAGCTGGAGTGAAATTGTGCAAATGGCACTGCTTTAAAAAGGAGACTACAATCAGATCTAAGAATCATGCAAAAGCTGGGAGTCAGCGGGGCTCCTTGGAAGGAGAGTACAAGTCTAAGACAGAAGAGTCTGATATTTCTGCTGTGGAAGAATACTGTGCCCTGAAACGTTTACATGACTAGACCCAGATGCTCCAAATCATTTCATAGTGGCCCATGACCATTTACCAAACAACTTAAGGCCCTCGCTCTTCAAGAGGTTGCGCACCCTTGCTCTAAGGTCTAGAAGTCAACTTCACATTGTCTGAAAGAGCCTGCAGCCACTGATCCTGCAACAGTAATCTAAATAGGTGGTAATCTAAATACAAGAGGGTGTAATCTAAATACAACAGGTGGTAATCTAAATACAACAGGTGGTAATCTAAAAATCCCATAATGGGGTTGCTACTAGACTAGAGCAGGCATAGTACAGGGGGTCAGCACCCTAATGAATACCTAAGGTGCAGATGAGAGACTGAAGCGCAGGGACACTCGTCATGCTGGGGCCCTATGACAAGGCATAGGAATTGCTGACGCACTGAGAAGATGGGGACAAGCATCTGATGTTCATAGAAGCCAGTAAGTCTCCATGAAAAAGGATGGCGGTGACAGATTTTGTACATTGCATGTGGAAATTTTGGACTTCAAGTTGATATTTAGAGCTTAGAGATCCAGTATGGGACATATGCCCCCTTTTGGTTTAGGGACAGTGCAAAAGTTGGACTAAAATGCCTTAAATCGTTCTGGGGCAATTATACCTTGACACTGCCAAACAGAAGCGGCTCTATGAAGTGCTGCTAATGTCTGCCGTGACATAATGAATGTTGGAGAAACTGAGGAGGGGGCAGGGAAAGAAAAAGCAGTTTTAGCCCCCACCAAAAAACACTTCCTGCATTCAAGCATCCAAGATAGCTTTTTGGTTGCTTAGACTGCTTCTAACAAACTTTCCCCACTCTGGAAAATAGGGGGGCACCTTCATACAGAGGAAGGTTTGTCTAAAGGGTTAGTAGACAGAGTACCAAGACTTGCAAGCAGACAGGGAGCCAGCTTGGGAGGTCAACAGAAAGGACAAATAAAGGAACGTTTGCCAAAGAGAGAGAGGGAGAAGTATTTGAAGTATATTCCTTTGGCTTCTTCTGCTAGGGAAGAGGAGTGTTCTTGTCACCAGAGGCATCCTTGATGATACTGTCAAGAGGTGGACCGAACACACATGTTGCTCAAAAGGTTTTAAAAACACAAGAGTTCCACAGTCTAACACTTCAGCTAAAGTCTCCTATGTATATGCAGAGACATGAGACATATGCAAGAAATGGCGATAGGAAGCTTCTACCAAAAGCACCACAGCTAAAATGTAATGTTACAGCCATCTGGTACAGATGCTCTATAAGTGTGGGATCAACCTCAGCAGGAGTTTGATCTCTTTAGGGATTTTAACCAGTCAGACATGGCCTGCAAAGTAAAAATCACAGCAAGGATCAGATGAAGAGCAGGGCCCAAAAGCAAGAACAGAGTTCAAGAGAAGGCTTTCAACCACTTTATCGGTTAAGTCCTTAAAAACAGGTGTTTCCTTGAACAGTATAGTAAGTGTACTTTTAAGGTGAGAGACTGCTGGATCTACTTTGGGAATACACTACTTCTGCAAAAAATCACCAGTGAGTAGTAGATGGGAAATAATGGTGCCCAGCAATCTAAATAATGGACACAACTCCTGCTGCTTGGCCTAGCTTGCCTACCAACTAAACGAGTCTTCAGAGGCAAAACAAGTATTGACAAAATGCAAATGCACCTGGAATTTTAAACATCTCTGCAGCTAACTCATCAGAACAGTCTAGAAAGCACCCTAATTAGAATCCAGTGCTTTTCCTGAACATCCAGTCAGACGCAGTACACCAAAAGCAAGGCTGAACAACCATGCCAGAAATCTGCATTCGAAGAGATAAAGTTCCAGCAATAATGAAGAGAAGGGTTATAGTTGAAGAAAAAAAAAAAAGGGGGGGGGTGGCATGGGGGTGCTAGCGAAAAAGTTAGTCCTAAAGTGACTGTAAAGGATTTTTTTTTTTGTAAACAACATCTGTGCAATCGTTTTGCATAGAGTAATCCTGGATCCTCCAAATTTTCAGGTCCCCTGCTCCTAGCTCCTCCCTACCCCTCCGCCACTTGCTATGGGGGCACGTGTACGTGCTCACTTCAGAGCTGGCTCTGTGTGTCCATAACACAGAGCATGGCTTGGCTCTACCCCTTGCTCAATGGCTGTGATTGACCACAGTGCTAGCCAATGGCTCCTGCTGCTGTGTCTGAGCCAATGAAAGGGAGGAGAAAGCCTCTGCTCTTGTGCACATCACTGGACCAAGATCAGGCTCAGGTAAGTATAAGGGGGGAAACTGCATCCAGAAGGTTATTTACCTTAATGCAAATAATGCATTGTGGTAAAAACAAACATCTTTCTGCTTTAGAACCACTTTAATACAGGAAAAGCTGCAGAAAAGACAAGCATGCTAGCAAAAAAACATGCTGGTAGCAGGTGGGGTTATCATGGGCTGGTCTAAAGTATTTTTTTCCAGTGTCCAATCCTCCTGTAGGTGGCTATAAAACCTTAAGGATAAAGGCTATGTCCCTGGAAAAAATGTTAATTTATTGATGTGTAAATGAATGCAGAGCCGCATTAATTTCTCTTTAATAACTGCTTGGGGATCAGCATTTAGGCTTGAAACTTAAGGATCTTGCATAAGGTCAGGCAGGGTCAGTGAATTTACATACATCCATTCACATCGGTCCACAAAAAGCATATGCAAAATCTAGGGAGCAGCAAATCAATATTTTTCCAGTTCTTCCAACAGATTTGATTTTTGATGTGCTGAAATAATTGGACAGACTGTTATGGACAGCAAAATCAGTGTCTTCTTTCAGGTACTTCCACTATGTGCAGAAAAAGATCTAGAGCTCATTTGACTGTGTAAAGTCTACCTTGTATTTCTATGTTAAGAGCACAGTAGTTACAGGTTCTCTTCAAACAGCATGTATAATATTTTAGATTTTCCCTCTATTTGGTTCTGAATGTGACTTGAGGGACACAGGAAGGCAGACTGTTGTGTTATACAGATGGACAGGACATTGACAAAAAAAAATAAAAATTTTAGGCTAGCCCAGGATAATGAACCCACTTAGTGGATGTAAAAAGTCTACACACCCCTGTTAAATTGTCACATTTCTGTGATGTAAAAAAAATTATACAAAGATAAATAATTTCAGAACTTTTTCCACCTTTAAAAACGGGACCTATAAACTGTCCAACTCAATTGAAAAACAAACATCTTTTCCCCTCTTATAACTGGGGATGTAGCTGTGTTCAGAATTCAGAAATCACATTCAAAATCATAGGAGTCAGCACACACCTGCCATCATTTAAAGTGCATCTGATTAAGAATATGTCAGGAAAGACCTACTAGAACAGCTGAACTTTATTTGGGGTTAGTCACATCCTAAAGTAAAAGTCTTGGCTTGGAGAGAGCTTCCAAAGAATCAGCGGGATCTCATTGTTAAAAGGTATCAGTCAGGAGAAGGGTCAAAAAGAATTTCGAAGGTATTAGATATATCATGGAACACAGTGAAGACAGTGTCAAAAGGAGAAAATATGGTGCAACAGTGACATTACCAAGAACTGAACATCCCTCCAAAATGAATGAAAAAACGAGAAGAAAACTGGTCTGGGAGGCTGCCAAGAGGCATACAGCAACATTAAAGGAGCTACAGGAATGTCTGGCAAGTACTGGCTGTGTGGTCCATGTGACAATCTCCCATATTCTTCATATGTCTGGGCTATGGGGTAGAGTGGCAAGACGGAAGCCTTTTCTTACAAAGAAAAACATCCAAGTCTGGCTAAATTTAGCAAAAACACATCTTAAGTCTCCCAAAAGCATGTGGGAAAATGTGTTATGGTCTGATGAAACCAAAAGGTTGAACTTCTTGGCTATAATTCAAAAAGATATGTTTGGCGCCAAAAAACACTGCGCATCACCAAAAGAACACCATACCCACAATGAAGCATGGTGGTGGCAGCATCATGCTTTGGGGCTGTTATTCTTCAGATGGAACTGGGACCTTAGTCAAAGTAGAGGGAATTATAAACAGTTCCAAATACCAGTCAATATTGGCACAAAACCGTCAGGCTTCTGCTAGAAAGCAGAACGTGAAGAGGATCTTCATCTTTCAGCATGACAACGACCCAAAGCATACATCCAAATCAAAAAAGGAAAGGCTTCACCAGAAGAAAAATAAAGTTTTGGAATGGCCCAGCCAGAGCCCAGACCTGAATCCGATCAAAAATCTGTGGGGTATTCTGAAGAGGTCTGTGCACAGGAGATGCCCTCACAATCTGAGAGATTGAGAGTGTTTTTGTAAGGAAGAGTGGGGCAAATATTGCCAAGTCAAGATTTGCCATGATGACTCATACCCAAAAAAGACAGTTCTGTAAAAAAATCAAAAGGTGTTTCAACAAAGTATTAGTTTAAGGGTGTGCACACTTATGAGACCATAATCTTTTAGTTTTTTATTTTTACTTCCATCCACCCTTAGATTTTAGTTTGTTGTTCAACTGAGTTGTACAGTTTATAGGTTACAATAAAGGTGGAAATGATTTATCTTTGTGTCTTTTACATCACAGAAACCTGACATTTTAACAGGGGAGTGTAGACTTTATATCCACTGTAAGTGTAAATCCATATAGTCAGCATGAGCAAAAGGGTAAGGTACATGGAAGCTGCCTACACAGCAGGTGCTAGAAAGATTTCCTCACCAACACAGCTCTCCCACAGTACAGATGTGGGTAACTCCCTGACTAGAGGAAAGACATAAGGGCCAAACATGCTGTATGCACTAATGTACTGGTTTAAACTGCCTGCATGAAATGAAGTTTTCCAGGTACCAGGATGAGTGAGGAGTCAAAATCCTGGTAGAGCAGTGATCAGCAAGTAACATGTCCTAACTGACCACATCCAAGTGGGTCAGAGAGTACCCTCTGCAGAGGAACTGGAGTTTTGGATCCGCTGAATATTGGGCTCGGCCTATTGTCTTACCACGTACTAAGGGGGACAAAATATTGATTTGGGAGTAAGAACAGGGGACAGGTGGGGATACAGATCCTGAAAACTAAATTGGCACAGGAACTACAACAAGGGTCTTAAAAGTTCAGAAAATCCCAAGGGAACAGAAAATAGGCTAATCTGTGTGGCAGTTGCTCCTTGAATACCAAGCAGGTCTAGCGTTTTGTTTTTTATGTAGTGTCCATAGCCCAACTCAAACATGCTTTCTGCACATGTGTATAAACTCATACAAAAAGACAAGGCTTCGTGCAGGCTATCACAGAGCTTCAGACATTTTCTCAAGCAGAAAAGAATCTACAATTTGGGAGGGGGGCAGAATTGAGACCATTCCAGCACAGTTTGGCAAAATAAGTTCACAGCCAGAATGGAGGAGGCAAAGGTCAGAAATGGGTTTTGAAGAGGGACTTTAATGGTCATCAGTCCTTGAATATGACGACACATTCTACTGGTCTAGTGCTTTCCCTATTAAGGTGGGTTTATAGGCAGATCCACAGACAGTATAGACCATTGTTTAACAAAATCCTTACCAAATGCAAATATCAATTAAGAGCACTCTGGGGCATCCAGAACCCCTCGGGTGCTTCCAAATCTACACAGAAGAAAGCCACAGACTGAGTGTAGAGGAAATTTTTTGCAGCTTTAGGAGATGGAACGATCAGACAGTACGCTGATCATCTAGATGCATAGTACATACTGCCTCAATGGTCTCTTGTGAATATGGTATAATGGCAGAAGACTGATTACTCAAATGTAATCTCACACTGAAGAAAATAAGGGGACCCTGGAGCAGAGAAAAATTTTAAAAATGGCAGTCTGCCTGTCTCTAAGGCCTCAAGCAGATCAGAAATCAACTCTGAAAGGTAAAGCATGGACGCAATCTTCGAGTCTGTGGTCATCACCAGGAAGGAACTGGATGAATTTGAGCACAAAGTCTTACGTTACTGTAGCAGAAACAAGACCGTGGACTTTTCCTCACCTGGTGGAGCTACAGTGGACTCCAATGATGAGGTGGACCCTATAAATCACAGGGTAACCAGATTCCACAAGTCAGTACCTTAAGGCAACAGAACAAATGACCCTGGAACCATTAAGTGTGTCTGCAGTCATCTCTTCCACATCTAGATGCAGTCATTTTGTGACTGCTTGGTGGTGATGCAACAAAAAAACTTGAGTACAAGGCATGGCACCAGATACCTACAAAGACCCAGACAGCTGGCAGTCCGTGAGGGTTGGGTGACTAGAGATGACCAAAATCACTGCTGGTGGGCAGTAGGAATTGACTGAAATTCCACCTGGCTCCTTGCAAAACAGGAGCAGCAGCAAGGAGGAAACACTCAGAGAAGAAATCCACGCCCAGCCCCTTAGCATTAACCCCTTTTGCATGAAAACCATTGCAAAGCAGGAAATTCAAAGACGCTCAGCAGCCAAAACAACCAGGTAGCCCCCCGTGCTAAAGCCAGCTCAACCTACTCAGTGAAATTTCAGAGACAAGGCAAGTACTGTGGCAATGCCAATGACTCCTTACCAGAACAAGCAAGATCTGCAAAGTGCCTATGTGGAACCCAGTGCCCAAAGGTCACATCAAGGCTAGCCGTGCAAAAGTCTAGGCCAGCAGAATCTGGGCATTGCACTCTAATCCTAGACTGCTCTGGATAGCTGCCATTTCATAGACCAGCTCAACCAGTAACGTAGTAAAGAATCTTGATTGAAGGAAAAAAAAAACAAATTGAGCCAAGAAAAATACATCCACCCTCCTAGGATGCCTGCAAAAAAAAAAACTGAGGCATACCTGGAGTGGGATAAGTTATCCTGGGCAGGCTTACAAACTTTGCCAATATACAGTCCTCCTGTAGACAGCGACATAACCCAACAGTGTATAACTTCCTGTGTCTCTTACTGGACAGAGGGGGAAATGATATGCATTATATCTAAATGCTATGCAATGTCTATTACTAGTCAATTAAAAAGCTTTGTATTTGAAATTCCTTCTCGTTTTACATATTTACAGCCCATAGCAGATCAGCAGAAGCAGAAACCCGTAAGAAAAATGCAGCTACCAGTATGCCACCAATCCCAAACACCACACACACTAGCATGCAGTGGTAGTTTCTGAATGGGCAGAACACAGCCAGTACGTTTTCTCAATTCTGTCTTAGACCAGTGCCTAGATTACTATTTTTCAGACAGAAAGAACACCAGATGACAATTCATAAATAAACCAGTAAAGAGGTATTCAACAGTATTAGCGCAAATAACATTTTCATGAAAAAAGTGCTAGTTCCGATGATTGCATTGTCGCAGTTTTTCAGTTTAGAGATTTTTCTTTAGAAAACCCATAAGTTTAAGTCAGGTAAGGTGTACCTCTTTACAGCTGCTCCTGTACAGCTCATGTATAAATTCCTGGAGGGGATGGTGTTTCCCAACGAAGAGATGGTCTCCTCCAAGGCTGTTTCTTCGTACTGACACAGGGAAGAAAAGAACACCTCTTAGCACAGATGAGTCCCTGTACAGAATGTTTCTTCAACAGCTGCCATTAAGTTCATTAGCGTATAATCCAAACACAAGTTAATTCATTCCTGCGTATGATTTCTGCTTTTATAAAGCAATTTAAAAACTTAATTACATTGCTAAAACTCCCACTTTTTCTAATGGTTAGGCAGTCACGGTTTTAACAGACACTCATAAAAAGGCTTTCCTGTGAAGGCAGATCATTTGAGTCATACACAAAAACCTGCAAATGAGAGTTTAACAAGTTTTAATGCAAAGTGGTTCCATTCTACTTTGTATCCACTAAGGCTCCATTTTTGCATCAAGGATCATTCAATTTACTTCAATTAACTCATCTATGAAGCAAAAGGTTACAGATTTGTTTAGAGGCAATCAATAGCAACCATCCATTACATCTGCAGCCTAACAGAGCATAAAATGGCAAGTACGCTACTGCTAAAACTTTGGTGATTACACAGACAACACAGGTGAAAATCATAATCTTACTTTCTTCAGGAGTGAGGTCAGGGTAAACCTCTTCCAAAGCAGCTCTTAGCCGCCGCTCATCAACAAATGGCAACAGAGCAACACCTGCAAGGTAGAGGAAGCAATCAATTAAATGGAGGAGGCGATGACCAATATAATGCCTGAAACAAAACAGGCCAACTTTGCAAAAGGTCTGTCATAGAAGCGTTAACTTTTTTTTAACAAAGCAATTTTTACATTTATTGTCTGAGATGACAAAAGAAAAAAAAACCAGTCTGATTCCCAAAAGTCAAATTAAAAGGCCTGGTGCAAGCACAAATTCCAATTTTTTGCAGAAGGTTTTGAGCTCCCCATTCAGATGGATTACACCAAAGAGTGGCCATATTCTTCCTGATCTGCAAGTGAAATTCTCCCTCAGTACATGCAATGCAGAAAACTAGTGAACTAAGGTTATACAGTGTACATTATTTATATACAACCTGTAAGAAAAGATTTATGGAAGCTGCCCTTTCTAACTTAATTCTTGAAGGTGTTTGTACCAGGGCCATGATCCTTGTACATACAAGCCCACAATGACCACGCAGCTAGTTAAGGCCCTGGAAGTTGCATTCACCTGACCTATGCCAACCTGTAGATGATCAGTCACTGATCAAGTATTACAAAATCAGCCCTGAGCACACACTTTATAAAACAAAAAACTCAAAAAAATCAGCAGCTCTCAAATTCATATTCTGAATATGTATTCACATATATCCTAGCACCGTGCACCATTTCTGTACATAGTGTTGAGAGAGCACAAACACCCCCCCACAGTCCAAATCTCGCATTATCTTCCACTGAACACTGGAGTTAAGGAATTTTTTTTTTGTACTTAAAACAGCACCAGGAATGGTACTTACAATGACTGAAGAGTGTCCATATGCTAGTGGTTGCTGTGTTAGGATGAAATAGTCAGTCCTCTGCCCCCCAGATACCCTTGCAGCTGCAATCTTGTGGTGCTGCAAGGGTAATGTGAGTGGTTGCAGCTGTGATGAGCACTCCCACAGCCAGTCATCATTCATAGAGCCCGTTTCATTGTGGAGACTGATAGTACAGCTATGAACAGAGTACAGGGGAGGAAAGGAAAGGCACAGTCAGCACTTTTGATGAGTGCATGTAACAGCTGCAGCCACTCATAACCACCCCACAGCACCAGATCACACCTGCAGAGGCATCAGGGGTAGAAGACTGAACATTTCAACCCAACACAGCAGCTATCAACACGTGGGAAACGTTTCATTCTTTCTAAGTATCATTGCTAAATATTTTTTTTTTAAATCACTAAACTTTAGTTTTAACCACTTGGCCAACAGGGAAACATTTTTTGCTGAAAATTTACTTTACATCCTAAAACATTATATATAATTTCAAAAAGCAGAGGCCCTGGAGGATAAAATGGTAGAGGTTGCAAATTTTTTTTTTTTAACGTCACAGGATATTTGCATGGCTATTTATCAAACACAAATTTTCAGGAAAAATTACACTTATATTGTTTTTGCGTACTCGAATTTAACACCCTTTTTTTGTGAAATATAAAAGAGGATATTGCATCAATAGATACCAAGATTTAAAATTAAGCACACCTGTGAAATGGCAACAAACTACAGTGGCATAAATTGTCCATAGGTGGTGCTTTAAAAGCCTTTACAGGTTATTAGTTTAAAGTTAACAGTGAATTATGGCCCTAGGATTACTGCTCTCACTCCCGGTGATACCTCACCATTTGCATGGGTGTGCTGGACCTACATGTACATTTGGGTGTATGCACGGGGACAGATGGGAACTTTACTGCCATCAAAAGGGAGCCAACAAGGCCCTTTTGATTGGCTAGCTTTGAGCAGGTGACATGCACTCTTTATAGAGACATCAGGGGTCTATTAGACCTTGGATGTCTACTCTGCCCTCCAAAGCAACAAAAAAAAAAAAAGCACAGATTGAAATGACAGCTCTAATATCATACGTGACAAAATCATGGTCACTGTCTTGACTGCTTACTGTGGTCCTGGGCTAGACGGAGAAACGGAAGAGCCCAGGAACCACCATGGGCAGCAGCACTTTTGAAATGCTGTAAGAGATTAGCTTTTTTTACATGACCGCTAAATCGACAGCTTCAAAAAAGAAAACTAGTTTCAGCCATGATCCTGGATTAACCACTTCTCATCAGGCCGTTTGTATATGGATGGGAGCAGGTGAAAGGTACAAATTACTTTGCAATGTGCCGAACTGCTTGAGAAGTGAGGACTTCAACCCTTGTCTCAGAGGAATAGGGTTAGGTATTTAAAACTGCTGTGGGGTCATGTCACGTGAACCTGCTCAGAAACAAAAACAGATTTGCTCTTTTACTATTAGAAACCCAACATAGCACCAGAATCTCTTAAAGTGGTCTTAAATCCCTACATATACCCAGTGTAGTGACTAGCCTCAGGTAATACACAGAAACAAATCCTCCTACGCAAGTTGTACCTTCTTAACTGCAGTCTTCTCTTCTCTACATCTATTGAAAGAGCAGAATTTATAAAGCTTGCCTGAGCTGTCAAAAAACGTCAGAGTGCTGAAATTACACACTACAGAGCCCAGTAAGGAGAGTTCTGATAGCGGATTGCTGAAAAGGGACACTCCCCCCTTCACACATTACACAGGAACAGCTGATGCTGTCAATCACAGGCTGTGTGCTGGAGGTCCCTCCCGTCACCTTTTTTCTCTTAGTGTCAGGAAAACTTGTCAGAAGTGACGCACGCTAACACAGGAACAAGCAGCAGACAAATGACACTTTGTGACACTTAATTGAGACAAGTGCACACTATAGAGGGATATGCTTTGTTCATATTTCAAGTCTAAAGTTTACAAATCACATTCAAGTAAATTATTGTAAACATGTAGAAAAACAGTTATAAATAATTTGCTTTTATTAAAATATTTGCCAACTCTCACCTTGCCAGGCATATTTTTTGCCATTCAAATCAAGTGCAAAGTCATCGGGGTAGAAGTCAATTATACTAGATTCCTGTTATAAGGGAATAAACATGAGAATTATAGCTTTACTATTATACACAAAATATTTTTAGTGTAAAAATACATAAAGAAACCACTCACAGGATCGCTCATAAGACGTCTCCAGGTAAGAGGCAAGAAGTTGCCACTAGCAGCTGGAAAAACACCCATCAATTGCTCCAGTGGCTTGAACTAAAAACAAAAACACAAATGTAGATCTGCACAGCAATTGTTGTGCTTGTATTTAGCACAGCTGATTTTTAAAAATTTTTTTTATTTTAATTTTTGGATAACAAGTATTCTAGCCAAACAAAATATCGCAAATCAGCAGTGGAGTCAAAGAGCATGTTAAAAGAAGAAGTTCACCTTTCATTACATGTTATCAGACCAGCCCCTGCTCCCCACTTTGAGAAGATCCCCCGCTAGCGGTCCAAAAAAAAACAAAACGCCAAAAAAAAAAAACCCGCGAAAAAAAACCCCAGCCCTGCGGGGCTCCGCCCACATCACTCATTCTCATTCACAGTCCTCTGTGAATGAGAGACTGCAAGTCCCAAAAGTCTTAGCAGCTATCGGCTTGTAGTCCACAAACTACCACGGCGCAGTGAAGCACCATGGTAGTTCAATCATTCTTCCTGTCAGTATATCTGCTTGCTCGTACATCCCATACAGGCAAGCAGATATACTGACAGATCTGCAGGAGACCTGCACGGCACCAGCAATCTGCTGATCACTGGTGCAATGCTATACAGGCTCCTGCGGACAAAAATAATAAATTTACTAAAAAGGTGAACTTATCCTTTAAGGGCTACAGGTTATTTTTAGCTGGCAGCTGCACAGAACAAATGCCTACCAACTACAGGAAGCCTGCAATGAAAATATATACCATGCGCACTACTATTCCTTTAGAAACCCCCCCCCCCCCCCAAAAAAAAAACAAAAAACACTTATGCTGATCCTTAAGCTTTATTACTTTCAGTCAAACACCTGGAACATGTATGCATCCAGGGAAGTCTGAAATGGGACTATGCATACTTCCAAGTCTGCAATTTAATCTTAGGCTAGTCACTGACATTAAGATTTCTCTCATTAAGCTGAATGAGAGAAAAAACAACATATTACCCCATCCACGCTAAACAGCAAGGATGGAGGAACCTCCGCAGCCGGCTGTTGTATTCCAAAAGCCCCTGCTCCCATGGTTGTTGAGAATATCCAAACAGTGACCGCAGCAGGAACCAGCTGACATTCTAGCAGGGTATGGACCAACATAAGACAAAGGGTCAGCTTAACATCTGGGCGTTCACAATTATCAGGATGTCATCAGCAAAAGACATCCTTCATATTTGTCACATAGCCAATTAACTTAAAGAATAACCACAAGCAATTTGAGAAAACCTCTATCATATATTACCATTATAACCTGGTACTTACTGGTTTTGTGTTTATTTCAAACTCCTTAAAAAGTTCGGCGATATTTTCAAAGTCTGAAGCAAAAGGAGCATAGTGGAATGGGAAAAACCACTTCCAAGAGGCACAGCCCTAAAAGAAATTGAAGTAAACAAATAAATATGCTGCAGCACTTTTTTTCATTTTAATAGTACTGGATAAGACATACAACTGTTAGGCTGGCCACACATTATTTGGTATTGGATAATAAATGTGGAGCTGTGTCATGTTGGCCATACTATACAACCTGACTGTACAATCTCCTTTAGATTCACCAAATCTATGTAATACAAGGATAAACCTAAAGAAACAATCTGTTCGATTAGTATCAAATCATGCAAGCCATTGCACTACACAGGTCATGGTAGATCCAGAGGAGAGTATACATTTGTATTGTGTGGTATATTGTAAGTTTTTCTCTGATGAAAGGTGACATTTGATTGCTTGCTATATGTTACTATGCTTTTCTCATCACCACTGCACAATGCTTTGTATAACTATATACTGGCAAATGTGGTTTAACCACTTGCCTACCGTGCACTTTTACCCCCCCTTCCTTACCAGGCCAATTTTCAGCTTTCAGCACTGTCTCACTTTGAATGAAAATTGCGCGGTCATGCAACATTAGAAATTTTTATAATTTTTTTTTCTCACAAATAGAGCTTTCTATTGGCGGTCTTTACTTGCCGCTGGGTGTTTTACTTTTTGCACTATAAACAAAAAACACAAAAAAAAAGGAGCAAAAAAAATTTGAAAAAAAAAAAAAAGTAGTGTTTCTATTATGAAATTTTGCAAACAGGTAATTTTTCTCCTACACTGATGTGTTAATGAGGCTGCACTGACTGGGCTCCACTGCTGGGCACCGATAATCAGTGCCGTTCCCTGCTCTGACAACTGCCGGTTCTCGGCAGTTCTTTCCTCACGCTCTGACAGTGTGAGGAAAGTGCAGCCGAGAACCGGCAATTGCATTTCCCGGTGATCAGCGTGTCATTGGACATGGCTGATTACGTGGTAAAAGGCCGCTGTGATTGGCTTTTTACCACATCACGTGATCAACTGTCCCCATAGGACACAGCGGACACGGAGATCACCGGGGGGGGGGTGGGGGGGGTGGGCGCGCAGGAGAGCGTGCTCTGGGAGGACATCATATGACGCCCTCCCAGAACTGGCAGGCCGCAGTGCAGCTGTCATTTGGCCATCTGTGGTCGACAACTAGTTAAAGGGTACCGTAGTATTTTATGAAAAATACAAAACAAAAACAAGCAGGTTTGAAAGAAGACTTGAAATTATCCTGTAGCCAGGCTACAAATATTTAAATTTTACATACTCCTAACAAACTGCCAATGTGCATTAAAAATAAAGCAATAAAGTACAGTTGCAGTCAGTTTTTGAACAGTTTATAGCACCAGCTGTTCAGGTATAGAAGAGTGGCCATCTGCCAAGCCCCTGCTGACAGAGTAAGCAAAGGGAGAGGAGCAGTGATTATCGCGGCCTGTGAAGGGAGGATGAACTACTCCACAGTACCTGAAGCAACAGAGATCATGGGCTTGTTTAAAAAACACATTTACTACTTAAAAGGAGAAGTTTGAAGTTATAACAAAACCAAACATATACATACTCTCCTCCATGCTGCAACATAGCTGTGGTGCAACTGTTCCCCGCCGACTAAGCGCGAGAACTGAGCGATCACATGATTGCCGATTGCTCAATTCTCAGTCTGCCCTGAGCAGAGATAAGTAGCCATCAGGCACTCACTGGAGCGCCAGGCAGGAGAGGGGGTGGGAGCAGCTGGCTAAGGTTCTTAGCAGCTTGCTCAAAGGGTGAGCAAGCTGCCAGACATCTGGGTGGATCCCACCTTGGATCAATGTAACCATGTATATACCATAATCCAGCTAATGATAGCTGGAAATCAGTAAAGCAGAGACTGCTACTCTAGTGACCTGCCTTTGCTTCCAGGTCCTGTGCAGTTGGCCTGCTGCATATTCAACACAGGAGGTCGCCAATTCGGCATGGATTCCATTCAGGGAATACATAGCATGGATGGCGCAAAAGATTGATAATCGCTGTGTCCATAAGCCAAAGAAAACCAAGTTAGTCCCAGCAATAGGAATCATGGGGGTGTCAGCACTCAGGATGCAGCTCCTAGGAGATGTGAAGGAATCTCTGCATCAAAACAGAGTGCCACTCTAAGTGCAGCACGTCACATTAACAAGTTTATTCAAATGGCAACTCACATTTAGGAAAAAAGGAACACGCTGGTTAGACCCAAGGGTCAAGACAGCCACAGCTCGAAGTTGTATGGAGTCCTAGGGATCCGCTGCTCCACTCGGAGGGAACGCCAAAAACCGCTGTGTTTCCGCTAGGCAACAAGCCTCCCGGAGCCGAGGAACGCCAGGCAGCGATGGCCGTGAGTGACGTCAGTGCCAGGGGAGGGATGGGGGCTTGGCTAATGAGTTTTGGAGCCGCTCAGCTCCTTTCTCAAAGCCTAAAGAAAAAGAGCCTGAAAGTCTTTGAAAAGGCAAAAAAAAAAAAAAAAAAAAAAAAGCCAAATGGGTCCGAAATGTGTTCCCTCCTCATCCTTCCAAGTGTTGACATCGCTACCGACTACGGCCATGGTACCTGGTGTTCCACAGCTCCGGAATGCTTCCTGGCTCCTGGAAACAGTGGTTTTTGGCGGTCCCTCATTCAAGTGGAGCAGCAGATCCCCAGGATGCCATACAGCCTCACAAGCTGAGGCCAATCCGCCTCTTGGCGGATCTGACAAGCACGTTCCTTTTTTCCTGTATGTGAATTGCCATTTGACTGAATAAACTTGTAGATAATGTGACATGCTGCACTTAGAGTGGCGCTCTTTGTTTAGGCCACTCAGAGAATGAATTGTATTAATTTTAGAAAATGCAAAGCATTCCCTGATTGGATGAGGTGGAGGAAAAGCGGGGATGACGTCATCCCCCAAGCCCTCTAAAATGCCCTTGTCGCTCTAAACCCCCAAAGCGGTCTGCCTTCAGCAGCTGCAGGAAGAGCAACAGTAGGAATGGATTGTCAGAATGCATCCCTCCCCACAGCCCTGCAGTCTTCTCCACTCCCTCCCACCAGCTGTCAGCTGCTTTCTGGGTGCAGGTGGAATCTGTTTCAGCATGGAGAGGGGAGGCCATAAACAGATCATGTTTACCAAAGCTCTTTTTCCCCCCCCGAACGTGGCGAGTGATCGTTATCAATCACTCACTGTGTTCATTCATAACTGAAACATAGTAAACTGTGAAACTGGGAGATAAATTGTTTGGCTGCAAGTCAAAAAACTGCTATAATCTTTATGGACTTAAATTATTTTAACGTATGCAAAAAAAAAAAAAAAAAAAAAAAAAAAACACCACACACAAAAATGACTGGCAGCAAAAACAGCAAAAAGATTAAAGTAAAATTCTAGCCAAGAAGCTAAATGCACATAGAAAATGCATATACACAAACTGTGTTCACTGCCAATGTCGCACACTGCATAGGGAGAATGAGGACCCCCATTCTTCAATACTGCAGCTTCCTACATTACATGCTTTTACATTAGGCCAGCAAAGATTTTCATGACAGCATTTGCTCTCCTCTTATAAGCACCTAAACAAACATTGCATCTAGGTCCCAGTGCCTGAAGATACCAAAGACTGCCAGCATTGTACAAATGAATAGAGCATGGGTGGTAACATTATTAGATTGCAAGTAGCTGTGCTAGAATATTTATTTTTCCTCAAACACTGGATTTAAGCATATTGCTGGCTAAAAAATCTCCCAGTACTTTTATCCAATTTCTGAATGTTACTCAAGCAGCATTTGCATATACTAAAGTAATAAAAATGTAATTCATTTAGATATAGTTGCCTTTTAACCATTTCCCATAGTGGATGTACTCTATGCTCTCATGACAGCATTAGCAAGTGGCTGTAGAAGTACCGCTGTATATTTGTAACTAATCTTCTACCTGATATTTCAATTATCAAAAGATTTTTAGCAGACGCTGATCACTTCAGTTACACTGTAACACCATAATATCCTAATGCAAGCACTGAAGTCTCCTTTGACAGCTTGCCATAAAACTTATTAAATCACATCACCTCTGTCTATTTATCATGCTGTAAAATCAGAAAGTACTGATGGCAGCACATACATTTAGATACAAAGCAGTGTACAAGCTGCAGAAAAGAAATAGTAAATCAGAAGTCAATGTTCTTTGACAACCTCTACACCGAAGAATGGCAAGACGAATCAGGTTAATATGGATTGCAACACCTTTCCCTTTATAAATGCAAATTTAAAATATAACTTGTGTCTTTCAATTAATTACAAAAAAAACTGCAGCCATACAGAGGGACAGAAGAATGATGTCTTGATAAGGTGAAAGGCCAAAACTGTGTTATGAAGAAAGGAGACTCTAGCCCACAACGCTGTCTCTGTGTAAGACCAAGCAGGGGGAAAGGAAATATCTGTGGTAGACCCAAAAGGTGGTTTTTGAAGTGCAGAGACCCAAATCTAGATCCCAAGTAGTTACAGGTGAGCACATAGGAGCGCCACAAAAGACACCCTGTACAAGAGTATTAATAATTGGGAATTTAGTGGTCTCTGAAATAAGACCACAAGCACCAAGATCTGTCCCTTAATAGTACACAAGGCAAAATGCTGATCTAGGCTCAGTAGCAGAAAGACCTAGATTCATCCCACAGAGAAGCTTCCGGGTGAAAGATTTTCTCCACGCGCCAAGTAAAACATGCCTCCCATGTGTGATGACACCTTGTGGGAAGTGGACCTCTTCACTTTCACCATGGTGGGAATCACATATTCAGAATTTTCCCTGTCCCTCAAGACCTGGGCTTCGTCAGCCATGTCTATAAAACCAGCAACCAAAAAGCAGGATGGATCAACCAGTCCTTGGGACAAAATATCCAGACAATCTGAAAAGGCTCACAGAGTATCTGCATTGACTCTGATCAAGATGAACTACAACATCTGCCTGGGCCAGTCTAGAGCTGTGAAGATCACTGGAATACCCTCAATTTTGATACTGTAGAATAGCTGAAGCAGTCCAGCTTTACATGAACCTGGAGGGCCACATTAAGCAACCCCCCACCTACGACACAGGTCCTGGAACACCTCCAGATGTAGGGACTGCTTCCCCAAGTCTAGGCACTTCTGGCCGGAGAATTCTGACTGCCAATAGTCCATGTCTAATATGCAAGTGGACAATTGGCACGATGTAACAGGCTGGAACATGAAACTCTGCCTAGGACAGCAAGCTTTGTACCACTTGCTGCAGCTAGAACACTGGTTGACATACTGTGGCATTGTCTGAATGAATCCTGATCAAGAGTACTTTCCAGTTAGTGCGTCCTGCTAGCAGGGACAACCAAATCACCTGAAGTTCAGAATGTCGATAGACAGACAAGACTGATGACCAAGCCCTCCCAACAAGTATCCAGGTCTTCTCCCCAGATCAACACACTGGCATCTGTCCTGGGAATCTTTCAAGAGATTCAAAAGGAAGTAATTACCTTTCTCCATAGTTAGATTCCTGAGCCACCAGGGATAACCTGGTCAGAAGCCAGTGTCATGTGAAACAGTCAGTCTAGACTCTGAAGACTGAACCAACTATCCCACAAATACACAAGAACCAGTGGTTACGTATTGTTCATTGACAGGTTCTTCTATTCCTGACCACAGCACCACCTATGGGCAGTCCTAGCTGGTATAAAAACACCATCCCTGCTATAGACAAGCCAGATAATCACAAAGCAGTGTAACGTTAACCATTAGATGCCTGGCCAATGGCCGTTCGGCGGCCGGCAAAATCCTTCAGCGTTCTGGGTGGACGCCATATGGCGTCCTCCCGGGCATGCGCAGTTTGCGCGCCTGCAGAGCCGCGCAATCTGTCACCGGCCGCATACCTCGGACACGGCCGATGACAGATCTGAGTACCGGCCCCGTTGCCGGTACCATGTGACCTGCTGTGAGCAATCACAGCAGGTCACATGACAGTTGTATACAATGGATGGCTTCATTCATGCCATCCATTGTATACTAGTGTGCCTAGCTGTGAATGGTCACAGCGATCACATGCACAAGCCGGGCCAATCACAGCCCAACTGTGTCATGTGATTAGCCGTGGCCAAATCACAGCGAAGCACAAAAAAAAAAAAAGCCCCGAATGAATCAATGTCATTCAGGTAAATGCTTGCTTATAGCAAAGTAATTCTTTGCTATAAGCAAATTGTGTAAAAATAAAAAAAAAAATACTGATCACTTCCCCAAAGTAGTACAATGTTACTATGGTAACATTGTACTACTTTGGTACAAGTGAAATATGAGAAAAAAAAAATCTTAAAAAAAACAAAAACAAATGTAATAAAAAATGAAAAATTTAAAAAATTATCATACTGTCACCAGTCAGTGCCCCTGATCACCGCCATGCCAGTTATATGATGATGCTGTACTGCACTGGTGACAGTATGTAAAAAAAAAAAAAAAATTAAAAAAAGTGAAAATAATTTTTTATTTTTTCATTTTCCAAAAAATACAAAACTTCAAAAAACTCGCCATGCCTCTTATGAAGTACATCGGACTGTCTACTTTGCAAAAAGTGGTCATTTGGGGGATATCTGGACTGTTCTGACATTCTTGGACCTCAAGAAATTAGATTGGCTGCCAATACTTCAGGATTGATCAATTTTCAGATCTATACCATAGTTTGTGAACTCTATAACTTTCCTACAGACTAAACAATACATCCTAATTTGGGTTATTTTCACCAAAGACATGTAGCAGAATACATTTTGGCCTAAATTTATGAACAACAATTATTTATTTGCAAACTCTTATAACAGAAAAAAACGTGTTTTTTTTTTTTCAAAATTTTCTGTCTTTTGTTAATTTAGCAAAAAATAAAAACCCCAGTGGTGATTAAATACCACCAAAAGAAAGCTCTAGTTGTGTGAAGAAAATGATAAAATTTTAGTTTGGGTATAGTGTGTGACCGCGCAATTGTCAAAGTGTGAGAGCGCTGAGACCTGAAAAATGGCCTGGGAGGGAAGGGGTAAAAGTGCCCGGTATGGAGATGGTTAAAAAAAAAAAAAAAAAAAAAGGGGGAGGTGCGATCGGTGTCTCTAGGATGCAGCTCTTTTATTCCTGACCATAGGGATGTCCCAAAGCAGTATCTCAATGAGGGGTGGGCAAACAAACTGGAGCAACTAGTGCTAACCACCCAGACACCCCCCCAAAGGGGGAACTAGGAACCTGAAACAGCAGTGTACAACCTTGCAGCCAAATCAAGCACATCAGCCATGTAAAAGTTAGTAAAAGTGTGCACAGACAAGCAGGTAGTCGCCTTGCAAACCTGAAACAGACACTCCTGATTTCGGAATGTCCGAGAGGCACTAATCACCCTGGAAGAGTGTTCCGTAATGAGGAAGTGAGGAGCCCAACCCTGAATGTCATATGCCTGAACAATCGCTTGCTGAAGCAATTGAGAAACCTGCACCACAGTTTACCCCCCAACCAATCAGGCACACACCAAATAATGAAGGGGGAAACCCAAATTTTACCCCAGTACCCAGGTACCAACGCAGGAGAGGCCAAAATACCTGCCTTAGGAGAGTCTTGTGTCCCTGGGACTGAGTACCTAGGCTTGTAGGAAAGGAAGAGAAGCCGGCAGGACCAATCACCCCATGGAGTACCCCCACCCTACAATGCATTTGGAGAGGGAAGGGGGGGAATTTACCTACAGATCCAGCGGAGCATGCAGCAAAGACCCCCAAGACAGATCCTCGTTTCCACCATGGGGAAAATTGTCAGCCAAGGTAACACTAATACAGTCTGCAGATGCCCAGTCAAATGTGTCCCCCAAGATGTTTAACATACTGGCCTCCCCAGCCCAGGATGGGGCTGTCTGCGTGCGCTCGTTGGCCAGACTGGGTTGACCACTGGATCTAAATTATCCAACCAGGTTTATTTTCTAAACCTAGAAAGGGTGGGAGGGGAAACTCACATGGCAGCTCCTGTGGTGACTGAAATCCAAACCATTTTTGGTTGCCCCACCCTAAACCTTTACAGATATCTGCTGGTTGTTCCAGGACATTGGAAAAGGCAGACAAGATATTCACTCAGGGGCTCCTTTCTCTAATAACTGTCCAAAAAGGATAAGTGAAAATCCAGAGATGCAGCTCACAATCCAAAGCCCGTCTGTTTTCCCATAAAAAGCTGCAAGATCCAAGAAGATGCACACAAGGAGCAAATGAATAAGGATTAGACTTGCTTGTGGAAAGTATAAGAAACCTTATGAGGCTTCTACAGCACAAAAGGATTTGGGACCTGTTTGGGACTATTACACATCATACTTTACATGAGCACACTGGTCCAAGTCAACAGAAGGTTATAAAGCTGGCAACTTACTGCTCATATTTCTCACTGCAAGGTTGAACCTGCAGCTGTGCATACCAGAGATAAATAACAGTAGTAAAGAATATAGCATACCTGGTAGTAATAACGTAATACCCAGCAGAGTCCTTCCACGTATGACTGTACAACTTTACGTCGAAATTTCTCGTCAGCGGAATCGACGTCAAATTTGTTTCTATAATAACGTTGCTTCCAACCAGATTCCCACAGTCTATAAATGGAGAATTAAACATTTGGTATAAACATTTAAATTGAGTAACATACATGTATATGTAGTGAGATTCTGAGATAGATCAGAACAAAATAGGCCAAAAACTTTGCAGTGTGAGGGTGTACCTAAACATTACTTTTAAATTCTCAATTACGAATACCCAATAAGATCACACTACACAGTTGGCAAATTCTGTTAATCTCACCGATTAAAAGACGTTTAGGGTTTTTTTAAAATTCATACTTACCCAGGTGTATGCAGCATCAGTCAGATGCTGCATCTGTCTCCTGCTCGCTCTAAGACTGAGAACTGAGCGATCAAATACTGCTGATTGCCAAGTTCTCGGTGCTCAGTGACAGTCACGAGCTCTCTGCTTAGTCCCTCCAGTGCTCAATGGAGCAGTGATCGCTGGAAGGCTGAGCCAGGTTCCAGTCCAGACATCTGGGTAGATCCTGACAAATAAGCCAAAATAACATTTTCGAAACCACAACATACCAATTTTCACATATGAAAACTGTTAGAAGTGGAATGCTAACCTTATTTTTGGGTAAAGTGATGTAGGCATGTCTTCTGCAATGTCTCCCAGCTTCTTTACATACAACCAAGTTTTCTGGTTCCCCTGATGTAGCTGAGTATTATTACCCAGACCTGGGCAGAGTTAGCTTTCTAAGTCATCACCTTGTGTATGTAGTGAGATACAGGTTAACAAGTGTACAGAAGCTGCTATGGCCAAAGAGGGACATTAACCACTTGCCACCGCTCTATAGCAGAATGACAGCTCCAGAGCGGTTGTCCAGTCCTGGGAAGGCATCATGACGTGCTCCCAGAACACGCCCTCAGCGATCTCCGTGATGTGGTAAAAGGCCAATCACAGTGGCCTTTTACCACACGATCAGCTGTGTCCAATCACACAGCACATCACGGTAAATGAAGTTGCCGGTTATCAGCTGCACTTTCCTCACGAAAGTACTACCGATAACCAGCAATTGTCAGATGACGGATTGGCACCGATCATCATCGCTCCTAGGTGATCGCAGCTGAAGTGGGAGCGGGTACCTGTCAAATTCAGGTACCCGTTTACCCCCCTTCCCGCTACCCAAAAGGTGCCAATCCTTAATGGGGAGCAGGGGACCAATCTTTAAAGCGGAGTTCCACCCAAAAGGGGACGTTCCGCTTTTAAGTCACTCCTCAAAAAGCTCATCATTTACATGCAGTTGCCCAAAATAATTTCATATATATTAACTAGGAATAATTCTTCCCCCAATTGAAAATGTTTAAAGGTTCCTATTTTCCCCAACCTTGATATAATCAGGTTGCAAATGTATCGTCCGTTAACAGCAAACGCAGGCGAATATAGAATAAAAGTTAGCTTTCCACTCTTTGTTGTAGCAACTCATATTAGGAATTTTTCATCACTTTCTGTATGAGACAATGGTGTGAAAGCAAAACGAGGCTAAAACCCTCAGCAGGGGCAGACCACAATAAAAACTTGATAAGGCTTTACACAATACCCCACTCTATCCCAAATTTTAAAAATATTTTGATTTGAAAGGCACAACTCCAACAGCTCATAAGTTACACAGCAACATGCAAAGTGCTGTAGTCCATACCCATCAGATGGCCAAAATGTTGGGACATGTGGCACAGTTCAGACTGCTAAAGCTAGGCTTTACAAATCTACAATCATACTGAACAACTTGTCAGGCTGGTACTTTACCACGGCTCACCATAAACTTTACAATCTGACAGTGCAATTTCTGTACAAATAAACTTTAGATTTGTCAATATATTGAAAATGAGGACCTTAACTATTCAATCTGTAACCAATCAAGCAGACCCTTGCTCTACACAGTTTTTGGTAGATCTAAAAAGGAGATATGTTATCAGATTGTAATGTGTGGTAAACTTGAGACTTCTACCCCGACCAGCAGAGAAAGATAATTAGCCACCATTATACTGGAATTAGTTGAGCACAACCCTAATGCCTGTCTTCAGCAGCATCCACCAAGCAGTACAGCAGCCTACTTATTGTGGTGTAGTAAACAGCCCCGAAGGCTTAGTCATATGGTTACCCTACAATTAGACAGCCATAATCAGATCTGAGTTATACACATATAAAATGTGCAGTCCTAACCATTTATGAAAATATGTACACATATAGCCAGTACAGATAAGATACAGAATAGTGCAAAATATACAATACCAATTAGTAACTCTACAAATATTAAACATTGACAGTGTGAATGGGTGAACATTCTAAGTGAGCAGGGCTCGACTTATCCCTGGTGTCAGGTTGCCATGGTGACTAGAAATTGCATCCCGACACCACGCCCCATAGACCTCCAAGAGAGAAAAAAACCTCGCGCCCCATAGACCCCCAAGAGAGAAAAAAACCTCCCCGCGCCCCATAGAACTCCAAGAGGGGAAAAAAAAAAAACCCGCGCCCCATAGACCTCCAAGAGGGGAAAAAACCCCGCGCCCCATAGACCTCCAAGAGGGGAAAAAACCCCGCGCCCCATAGACCTCCAAGAGGGGAAAAAAACCCCGCGCCCCATAGACCTCCAAGAGGGGAAAAAACCCCCGCGCCCCATAGACCTCCAAGAGGGGAAAAAACCCCGCGCCCCATAGACCTCCAAGAGGGGAAAAAAACCCCGCGCCCCATAGACCTCCAAGAGGGGAAAAAACCCCGCGCCCCATAGACCTCCAAGAGGGAAAAAAACCCCGCGCCCCATAGACCTCCAAGAGGGAAAAAAATACCCTGCGCCCCATAGACCTCCAAGAGGGAAAAAATACCCTGCGCCCCATAGACCTCCAAGAGGGAAAAAATACCCTGCGCCCCATAGACCTCCAAGAGGGAAAAAAACCCCGCGCCCCATAGACCTCCAAGAGGGGAAAAAACGCCTCCCATAGACTTCAATGCAAAACCTCCTGTCAATAGCAATCCTATGTGAACACTTATCTCTGCATGCTGCTCTACTCTATTACTTGCGAGTGTGGAGCAAACCGCTACAAACTTGCATAGGACCCTTTTTAAAATGGCACTCAAAGTATAATGTGTGTGGATCATACCTGTGTGAACCACCTCAACAGGAACACAAAATATCTAAATATCACAAAATATCAGGAACACAAAATATCGGAGTTTCAAAACTAACCCAGAATCACATACGTGTGTGAACCAGGGTTCACACCTCAACATTTTGTGATCACAGCAGAAATTGCTGTAATTGCAAAATGCAGGTTCAGGTGCCATTATTTTCAATGCCGCCTAAAACATGGTGCAGTATTGCCATGATTGTCGTATGGCGCTGACAACCCACAGCTACGCTAAATTAAAAAAAAATAAATTATATATATATATATATATATATATATATATATATATATATATATATATATATATATATATATATATATATATATCTCCATATCCTAACTTTTATAGCTGGCTCCTAGATTCAAAGCAAAATGTAGAGCCCTGAAAGTTAAAATTTCACATGTACACCAAGTACCAAAACTCAGTCAAAAACAAAATATTTCATTGCACTCTTAAATTCCAGTGATAACATATAAATCATTAAGTCGTCCATCCAACAAAATCTTCAAAGTTCTAGAGTAAGAGTCCAGTGACCGACAAAGATAACCCCAAGGTGCAGCTCATTAATATACAGGCTGCTTACCAGAATTCAGTGACCCTCAATACCCGAGGGGTCAGATGTGCTTAAGATGTTAAAAGGGCATTAACTAAAGTCAGGCTGGAAGGTCAGAGATCACCCAAGATTCTTCCAATATAAAAACATAAGACACCACCAATAGTAAAAACTGCACAAACTGCTTTATCGAAATAAAAGCATAAAACTGGCATTGTGAAAAAGACAAGAAGATCAGATATACAAAATCAAGATCCCGCTTGCATATGCGGACCTAGCTCCTACCTACGCGTTTTGGCATATGTGAGGTCATTGGGTAAAGGATTGTGTGTGACGAAGTTATGTATGACGAAACATGCAGGGAAGAGCTAAGGTGTATGTATACCCATCTTTGTTACTGGTTGGCATATGGAACTACATGGAGTATGATCACAGTTTTGTATATCGGATATTCTTATCTTTTGCAATCAGAAGCAGACAACAGCTGGTCTGGGAAAGGGGCGAGGATTAGTGTTAAATATAGCAGCAGACTTAAATACGCCAATAAAATTGAAGCCAAACACCAGCTAACACTTTATATAAATCAGTCAACCATTTTTTTCACTTTTATGATAAAAGGTTTACATGAATAAATAAAATCTGATCATTGTAAGCACCCCTGTCAGTGCTGAATGGTTTGTCTCCTTCCTGTAAACTGACATCATACTTAGTCCACTCATGCTCAAGTTCTGTCCCTGGCTGCAGTGCCACTACTCTCTCTACCTGGTTTCGCAAAAGACTCTTTATGCTTAAGCATGTATCCACTGGGTTGAAGTTAGTTCCAAGTAAAATGACAAAATGTTGCATTTGGGTATGCCACTCGTACACTGTTTGTGTGAACATCTAGATGTGGATCTTTAGTTTTGTACACGGATATGTACTAAACATGGTACAGGTTTATTAACCCCTAGTAACCGAGGATAAAACAAATGTTAATGCCTGAACACAATTTTGCAACTTTGACATGTGTTCGTAAAACGGTCTATAATATTGCAACTACTTTGTGTATCCAGGAGATTATAGATTGCTTTTTTCCGGACAAATTAGGCTTTATTTTGCTGGTGAATGGTATCAGATATTTTTTTTTTTTTTAATCAAAAAGGATAACTGGCCCAAATTAGTAAAAACAAAACAAAAACCACAACACACGCATCAACACAAATGATCTCAGCGATATCACATATGTGCATGTTAGTTGTTGTAGGGCCCAGAAACAATGTTGCCCATTTTGAGTTTTTTTTTTTTTGTTTTTGTTTTTTTAAAAGCTTACCCTAAAACACACCTACACTGATATTTTTTAAATTTTTTTTTTTTTTTTTTTAAATCCTACCCAAAATATATACTGACCCTGACCTTTGACTCTTACCTTTGATCCCAACACTAACCCCAGCACTGACCTAGATCAAACCTTGATCTAGCTATTGTTTCTGTATGATTACATTTTTTAAATTTGTACACAATTTTGTTTGCGAGGAGAGAAAGATATATGTTTCTTTCCATTGAAAGGAGGAAGTAAAACAAAATGACTGATCACTGATAGCCAAATCAGACTAGCACAGCGATCAGGTGACCCCGAAGTGGGAGTCCCGAGTGTCGATTGCTGGCGAGAACCCTGTCTCTGTGCTTTGAGCACACTGTACCATCTTCCGGCTACAAGTAGTAAAGATTCATAAGCAATCATTTTTATCTGTCTGGAAATTAAAATACTGTCCAGTCCTAAACAAAAAAAACAAAAAAAAAAACACTTTTTATTGATTTAAACTGCAAACCAAGCATGTCAGTTTACCGGTTTAACACAGAATGAAAAACAAGTAGCACTCAAATTGAACAACAGAGACCAAATCCTTTAAAAGGAGCCTGTCCCTCTCTAATGGATTCTGCAATGGAGCTTATGCAATGATGAAAGTTTTAGCATAAAGCATATCAGAAGTGGGAACAGACACTCTTCTGTGAATTATCTCTGGGGTGCTAGGGGATGAGGGGGGAGTTGGGTCTGCCTGCTATTGAGGTTTTTTTAATTCTACATTAAAAAAACAAAAAAAAAAACAAAAAAAACCACAAAAACACATGACCATGACCTAAATCAAACCCTGATTTAGTTTTATTTATTTTACACATTTACTTTTTTTTATTTGTTTTGAACCTTTTCTTCTAGCAAGGAGAAAAAGATAATCTGCATCCCAGGGGTGTGGAAATTTTTTAAAAAACTACTTGTCCAGGGACTAAGTCAGTGGCCCAATCTACTTGTCCAGAAAAAATAATTTTAACAAAAACTGTATATAAATCAGAGGTGATATTAGGAATGTCTGGGGCTTTTAAAAAACAAAAAAAGGGGCTTTATGGCAACTTAAACAATGCAGTGTTAAAAATATTAAACGTTTATCTCCTCACCTCCCTGCCTGTCTCCAGCACCACACACCGGGGACTAGCAGGGAGTGGAGAGACCTTACAATGTAATAAGCACTAATTGGCTGCTCCTCAGGAAAGGGAGGGTGAGGGCTTATCCTTTATCCCTTTGCATGTGTAGGCGCCCCCATATGTGCTTTTACGTTTGTACACATTTATATGTGGGGCCTCAATTTTTTTTTGGGGGGGGGGGGGAAGGGGGGAAATGGTATGTGTTTGGGTGTATCTAATTTTTTTACAATAAAAAAATAAAAATAAAATTTTTTTTTTTTTACTTTGTTTTCATCACATAGGGGGAAGAGGCTGGCACTGTGTGGAAGCGATTGGGTGGTGGTGCTGCCGCCCGAATGCTTCCATCTGACAGGAGAGCCTGCTGCTTGCCTGCAGCAGGGCTAAAAAGGTAGAAAGGAAAACACTACCTGCCCGACGCCCAGAACTACATGTCCAGGGCGTCAGGTATTAAACATCTCTGTGCATCCGCAACAAATATGGGCTCCCCTTCGTCTTCATGGCAAAAGCATTCACACACTGTGCTAGGAACAACTGCACAAGCAAATCTTGGCTCAGAATGGCATCTAATACTGTAGCCGACATTAGGATAAAAATAAAGATGAAAAACCTCTCTTGTTCTACATAGAGTGGGGGAGATTGCCTGTCCACTAGTGTCCCAGTGACCCGTGTTCCCCTCTGTTCCTGCCTACTGGTCACAGGAGTAAAAAAAAAAAAAAAAAACCCACAAAAAAACCCCCCACAAATAATGGCAAAAAAAAAAACAAAACAAACCCAGCAATCGTTATAAATGTTCCTACTGCTTTCCAAAACTAAAAGGATTTGGCTGGAATGGAATTAAAGTGTTACTAAATCCACAACCATAAAATCAGTCTATATATGCAGTAAAGCATGCTTGTTCTACTCGCTGTGGAGCATAAGAGGATAAAGTGCTACTAAAACCCAGGACCCTGCATTCATTATATCTGGTCTCCCACAGTACATAGAACAAGGAAATGCATTTTAGTAAAATATAAACTGCTAAATACTTTTTCTCATCACCAGTTAGAGCAGTCTTGTGACTTCTATCAGTGTTCAGCAGAGCACTGGTTGAAGCTTGTAGGAGTATTTTCTGCCCCATTAGGATGCAGAACCCCTGACCCCCCATATGGACAGTGCAGATCACATGCACTCTCCCAAGAAGAAAAAAAAAAAAAACCTCTAGCAATACACACCAAACTGAGCATGTGCAGTGTCTCCACAGGTTATGCCTTATCAGGAGATAAGAGGAGGGCACTGGAAGGGGAGGATCAGAGAAGAGAGGATCAAACAGCCTATTTACACAACGCAGAGGATTAAGCCCTTAGGTTCCACAGTGAGTATATCAAGCATGCTTTACTGGGTTTAGTAATGGATTAATCCTCTGCATTGTGTAAAAAGGCTGTTTAAACCGGTCTTCTCTGATCTGCCCCTACTATCCCCAATCCATCTGCTGGTAGTACAGAGTCCTATGAGGCATCTGCACATTCCATGTCTAGTGTGTATTGCTAGAGTTTTGTTCTGTTTTTTTTTCCTTCTTCTTTTGGGATGGTGCATGTGATCAGCAGAGAGCCAATCAGCACTGTCCAGACAAAGGATCATGGGTTATGCAGCTCTGACAGAAGAAAATGAAAACTTCTATAAAGCTTTAACCAATGCTCGGCCAGACACTGACAGAAGTCACAAGACTCCTATATACTGCTGATAAGAAAAAGTATTTAGCAGTTTATATTTACTAAACTGATTGCATTTCCATGTTGTGTGTACTGTGGGAGACAAGATATAGTGAATGCAGGGTCCAGGGTTTAGTAACACTTTAAATCTACCTTTTAAGTCAAATTTATGGGTTCCAATCAACACAGAATACATAAAAAGTATTTAAAAGATTTTTCTAGTTGTTTCTGTGGAGCAGATTTACACATAGGACTGAAAGATAATCTGAATTACAAATAGCAATTATAGGGACAAATGGCAGGGAAAGTGCATTAACATACTATGTACCACCCAAGCCTTGATATCTTTAGCATTACCAGTTGTGTACACTTTGCCCAACAAAGGGTTAATGTTATCTGCCAGCACACTATAGACAGTATTAATTATGGTATACATTAACTACCTAGCCTCCCCTCAACATTACATAGAAGGTGAAAGCTGGGAGGATTATTAAGTAAATAAAGTTAAAAAAGGCAAGATATAATGTTTTTGTAAAGATACACTATGTGAATGAGAAGATGTAACAAATACAAAGTAGTCTGTGTCCCCAAAAAAAAAAAAAAAAAAAAAAAAAAAAAAAAACAACTTGGACACAAATACACAAAACTGTGCTCAAAAACCAATCAGAACTAATCCTAAAACAAAAACCCATAACAGCACACAGTCGCAATCACGCTTTGCCACTGCTGCGTTAATTACAATAATGGTACAGATCTAACAAACATTAAGCATTTGGAAAGCATCAGAGTGCTAATGCATTCATGTATTTACTTTTCTCTTTATGTCCATCAAAGGAGAGGAAAAAAGAAATAAAGTCACAAATGACCATGCAAATATAAGCAGAATGTCCACAGAAGCCATGTGTTAGGTAGTAATGGGACACCTGCACAAATTATATTTCTGAAGTACAATTTTACATGCTACAGATCAAAGTAGTGCAATTGGAATGCTAAACAGATGCCCCATTCAAATCTGTTAATGTGACACTCTTACAGCCACTAAAAAGTTGAAGGGTTAAATATTCCTGCAGAAAACACTGGTATTCAGATCACATAATCAAATCAAAATCAGTGAATGTCTAGCCAATGCAGTGTCTGGTCTCAAAGGGAAGAGTGGCTTGAAGAAAGAGAGCCAGCATGCATACTAATCTCGATACTTGGATTTAACAGCTTTAGCTTACTCATCTCGCTGGAATTTACTGAATATTGTTACCCTCCATATTAATTACTGCCGGATAAAAAGATCACAGAAAATTATCCAAAGGCGCTGCTGCCATAAGCTAAATGGCATTCATTAGCAATTCTACCCAATTCAGCAATTTGCTAACAAAGTACTACATACAAAATGGCTTCACCTGATATTATCTTCTGGCTCGGGCTCACTGTCACTGTCATTTGCTTTTCTTTTTGTTCCTGATAGGCCTTCTTTGTCATTGGAGTTCTAAGGAAGAGGAAGATTCATTGATATAAAAAAAATACAGAGTTAAGAAAATAAATCTCATGCAGAGGTTAACAAAGCCCAAAACATGTTTTGTAGTTTCCTAAAAAGAGGAAGGGGGTGCGATTAACCTTTCCTAAAATGTCAAAACAGCTCTCTAGGAAACCAAAATACTAAACGATTACTTGGTTTTCAGCTAAAGAGGTAAGTATGTGTTTATCTTAAATGTCCTCAGTTCTCAGCAATTTTTTTAAACATTAATGTAGGACAGAAGGCCAAATATTCCGCTAAACATTGTAATAAAATCAAGGAGTACTCATTTTGTGCAGAGATAGGGTAGCCTGCATCAAGAATTGAGGTTCCCCTCCTTAGGAGAAGAAAGGGGGGGCAGGGGTGGGAATGGAGGAGAGAAAGTATGAGTGCAGTGTGGGGGCTGGGTGGGAGCGGATTAAGGAAGGTTTATCACCTTAATGCAGACTACACATTAAGGTAAAAATCCTTATGAATTGACAAGCACTTTCGTTAGCACCACTTTCACAGGATACTAACAGACCCTATTTAATTTTGGCTTTGGTGCAGACACTGCACCCATTCACACAGAGCGGAGGCTCAGCCCCCGCCTCCCCTCTCTCCTCACTGGCTTACGGTCTATGACTGACAGCAGCGGGAGCTGTTGGCTCCCACTACTGTCTCAGCCAAAAGAGGGAGAGTCCCGAGAGCCAAGCCTTTTGTGCACATTGCTGAATCGGGATGGGGCGCAAGTATTAGGTAAGGGTATTAGGGGCTGCTGCGCACGGGTGGTTTTTTTACCTGCACAGAATGCAGGAAGAAAAAAAAAAAAAAACTAAAAAAAAAAAAAAAAAAAAAAAAAAAAAACACCTGAGCCCTTACAACCACTTTAATTTCCCCATTATCTCTAAAGCAAGCACATACAGGAGATGATTTGTATCTTTCATAACCGCCCTTTAAACATCCATTCACATCTGATGACATCTACTGTAGCACACCCCAACAATTGGCATATTCTCTACTTTTGGGAACAGGAAATGGGAAGCACCATGTTTGTCGACCCCACGTAAACTATCATTAATACATAGGTGGCTTAAAAACACACACACTTCGAGATATCAGTCCCTACCACGCACAAAGTACAGAGCTTCACATGCAATCAAAACATTAGGTCAGTAAAATCCTAAAGTTGTGGACTTTTATTTTAAGGACAACAGGGCTATACAGCTCTAAAACAAAAACACGAACAACTAAACTTAGTCCCTAGTCCAGCAGAGTTTACAATACTCTGTGTGCACAATTATAAGGCAAGTATTTTTGACCAAATCATCATTTTTATGCAGATTGTCCAACTCAAAGCTGTATAAACTTGAATGCTTACTGGATTTAAGCATATCAGGTGATTTGCATTTGTGTAATGAGGGAGGGTGTGGCCTAAAGAAAGCAACACCCTATAGCAGGGGTCTTCATATTATGGCCCTCCAGGTGTTGAGGAACTACAAGTCCCATGAGGCCTTGCAAGACTGACAGCCACAAGCAAGACTCCCAGAGGCATGATGGGACTTGTAGTACTTCAACAGCTGGAGGGCTATAGTTTTGAGACCCCTGTCCTATAGCAAGGTGTGCATAATTAAGCAGCTTCTTTTCCTCAGGCAAAATGGGCCAAAGAAGATTTAACTGACTCCGAAAAGTCAAAAATTGTAAAGTCTTTTGGAGGGATATAGCACTCTTGAAATTCCTAAAAAATATTTTTCAACAGGGTCACAAGAAACATGTTGAGAAAAAAAACAAAAACGCAAATTAACTGCCAAAATTTGAGAAGAATCAAAAAGGTGAAGCTACCAGGAACCCATTATCTTCCAGTGCTGTCATATTCCAGAACTGCAACCTACCTGGAGTGCCCAGAAATACAAGGTGTTCAGTGCTTAGACACATGGCCAAGGTAAGGAGGGCTGAAACCCGACCACCTCTGAACACACAAGTTGAATGTCAACACTGGGTCAAGCAATATCGGAATACAGATTTTTAACAAGGCTTTATGGACAGATGAGATAAGTGACTCTTGGATGAGATGGATAGGTCCATGGCTGGATCAGTAACAGGCACAGAGCTCCACCTCGAAAGCCAACAAGGTGGAGGTGGGGTACTGGTATGGGCTGGTATTATTAAAGATGAGCTAGATGGACCTTTTTGGGTTGAAGATGGACTCAAAATCAACTCCCAATTTTTAGAAGATACTTCAAGCAGTGGTACGGGGAAAAAAAAAAAAAAAAAAAAAGTCTTTCAAGAAGACCATGATATTTATGCAGGACAAAGCTCCAACGCATGCACTGAAGTACATCACTGCGTGGCTAGCCAGTAAAAGGCCCTAAAGATGAAAGAATAATGACATGGCCCCCTTCCTCACCTGACCTAAACCCTACTGAGAACTCGTGGGTCCTTCTTAAATGGGAGATTTACGGTGAAGGAAAACCGTGTCTGGGAGGCTGTGGTTGCTAATGCAAAAAAAAAAAAAAAAAAAAGTTGATCATCAACAGATCAAGAAACGGACAGACTCCATGAATGGAAGGCTTATGATCGTTATTAAAATAAAAAAAAAAAAAAAAAAAAAAAAAAAAAAAAAAGTGGCTATATTGGTCCTTGTTTTTATTTTGAACTGTCAGAAATGTTTATTTGTAAACTTTGAGTTGTTTATTATTCTCATTAACAGTTGAAAATAAACAAATGAGATGGGAAAAGGTTTGTTTTTCCATTTAGTTGCATAAAAAAATCTGCACACCAATAGTTGCTTAATTGTGCACACACAAATTCTTTTAAGAAAGCTAAAACCTCACTTTTACTTTCTTAAATATTCAGGTTTGAGATTTATAAATATTTGGATTGACAGAGCATTGCAGTTGTTCAATAATGACATTTAACCTCAAAAATACAACTTGACTAATAATTGTGCACACAGTGTATAATGTGCATCCAGTCAAACATACAGTACATTCTATCAGTGTTTAACAGAAGCCAAATAAGCAACTTGTATTTTTCCTCATTGTGAAAGGAAAATCCACCATCTACACAAAAAGGAAGAGGAGGCAGTAAAACATGCCAACTGGGAACACATAGTTCAAAATCACCAACCAAGTGCTGTAAGGCAACAGTGCTAAGCTCTGCACTACCATGAGCAATCCAAATTCATTTAATACACATCCTAAGGCAGTCTTCATTCACACCAAATGTGTGCACATTTAAAATGTATGGTTTATTATTTAAAACTAAAATTGGTAATTGCTAAGAGTATGTGAATACATGAACGCTCATAGCCTGGCTACCACATCACGTCGGCATTGCTGTACAGTGCCGAGAAGGTAATAGCGAAGATTGGATTTTAAGTATGTACAATCTATTATATAAAAAAAAAAAAAAAGTTGGGGAAGGATAGTAAAAATATACTTGTCTATTTACCAAGGGAAAAGGTAAACACTGCTCTAAACTACATAATGTCTATTAAGAAGAAAGATAGCATACCATATTTTGCTTGCGCATCTCATATGCTGTCTCTCTCGCATTACTTATGGCTTGAGGGATAGAGGAGTTACCCCGACCTAGGGCATAAGGAGCAAACTGGCCAGTTGGGATAAAAGTTGGGTTCTGCTCCGCCTACAACAAAACATCATAATCTTCCATATTACTATACACATGTAAATAATTTTCAGCAATTTTTCATGGCTGGCATAATGAAAAACTGACCTTCATTCTCTTTCTTTTCTCCTTTTGTCGCCTCTTAAAGTTCTCCTAAAACAGATATGCAAAAAAAGGAAAAGGTTAAAAACTAATTGTAAGTAAAAATAGCCATGAAAGGAACTGGAAGCAGAACTAAACCCATCAATTTAATTATTTCTCAAAGCAGTTACATTTAAGGCATGCCAGTTGCTTGTGCTCTCAACCAAACTGTAAAGCCATTAAATGGCTTTAAATGTGCACTGTCTTGGTAACAGATTAAACAGAGGCCTAGATGGCAATTTCCTTCACTATAACGCAGGTAACCCTAAATGTCAAATCCAGACAGCCTACAGTAACAGTAATGTGTGTGCATGTGTGTGGGGCATGTATTTGGAGATGCACTTGCGAGGTCAGGCACGGATGTTTGACAAGAAGGCCAGGCTCGCAGTCTCCACTCTAATTCATCTCAAAGGTGTTCTATCAGGTTGAGGACAGGACTCAGTGCCAAAGCTAAAAGCACTAAAGTCAGAGCAACTGAACGGCAACCAAAGAACTAGCATTTCCAAAACACAGTCCACTAATGACAGCCTCCACTAAACTCTTATGATGGTGTCCCTTTAAGCAAGGGGGGGGGGGGGGAGAGAGAACAAACACTCAGCCATACATCATCTTCCTTCCTCTTCTTGAAAATGCTGTCTTCAACCTCTCCAACTGCTAGCATGATCATTTGCACCCTCTCCAGGTTCACAAACCCGCTCTCCGTAAGATAGCCCTGCAATTTAAATGGAGAAAAGAAAAAAAAAAAAAATGTTATTTTCAAAATGTAAAATTTAGTTTTTTATATTTACATATATAGCCCAGACTGTTTTGCAAGTAAACCAGCAGTCATTAAGAATACACTGCCTTTTTTATTACTTGTTTAGAACACACATCAATGACCGAAAATACCCCATCAAGGTAAAGAGTCCACGTTCTGTGAACAGATATATGGGCTGATGGTGTACAATACGCTAAACCAAGTTACACAAATCAAAACAATCTCTTCAAATGTTGAAACTGTAAAAGTGTTATCCTAAACCAAGAAAAGTGCCAGAGCAGACTTGCTGATGCCTAGACTGTAGTATACTGAAGTAGCTTGTGCTACATACAGTAAGCAGCGCTGAGTTCCGTCAACAGTATGGTTGGAGTCACCTTTACTGTTGCTAGATATAGAGGAAGTCAGCTGTATGGAATCTCTACCACTTAGGAGAATCCTTTTATCATCACTGGATATAAGGCTCCATTAGGCATAAGTGGAGAGTTAGGTGGATGCGGTCAGGATCACCTTGCCCAAATCAGAAGAAGCCCTGTATTTACTAAATATGGCCTAAACAAATTACTTAAAAACTGCCAGGAAACTTGGAACTCCCATTAATATATTGTAGTTCACCAGTCCTTAGATGTGGTGGTTGCATTAGTTTCCTACCTGTCCTTGGATAGTTAATGCCTCTCCTCTACTGTTTTTATGGAAGTAGCCATGGCTGACAACCATTCTTGACTTCAAATAGGTCTATTATTGTTCATGTCCACTACATGGGGGCTGATAGAATTGGTAGTTTACACAAGATAAAATAAATAAATATCAGCTGTACTTGTTGAACATGTTTTTTGTATGGAAACTAGTGCAGTCACCATATCTGATAAGTGGACTGTAAAACTGAAGTCCAATCCAATACATTTTCGTTTTTGAGTGTAGATACCCTACAAAAAATATTTGTAAAATATATTTGAGCATGCCACCTTTTTTCAGTTCAGGAGTGCAAAGGATTTTAAACGCCTATAAGATTTTAATACTATCTGAGAATCCTTACAGAGAGATTTCCCCTCACTTAAAGTTCAGTGATAAATACATACATAAAAGGGGGGGGGGGGGGGCACACAAATGGGTAAAAAAAAAAAAAAAAAGACAGAAAAGTAGAACCTCAGTCACCTTTTTACTGCCATCTGTCCCTGTTGAAGATTTTCTCTGGTGTCCTGTCTGGTGAAACCATTGTCACCATGACAGTTAACAGTAGAAATATATATTTTTTTTTTAAAAAAGAGCTCCAGATGGTTCTAGCAATTTAGAAAAAGCAAAGACTTGCCTATTTTTTAAGCTAATTATAAAAAACATAAAGGTACCCTAAGACCAAAAGTTGTCAAGGTACTTCACACTGCAATTCTCAGTAACACTTGAAGTGCAGAAATTCAGTAGAAATATATTAATTAAAACTCACCCCAGTCTTGTGGACCACATTCTTGTAGATGTTTACAAGACGGTCGATAGCACCCTCCCTGAGACAGAACAATAGCAGGTTAGCCACTTGCTACAAACTAAAAATGTTCTAAAAATAAATGAAGAAACAAAGAAGCACCTGATCTCAAGAGAGGGTAAGTGAGGCAGAAAGTCATTTCCAACAAAGAAACACATGAAAACCCAGTCATCAATAGTTCTTTCAAAGTCATATGGGAAAGGCAAGCTTGCCATTGCCAGCTCTCTCTCTAGATACTGATAAAGAAACAGATCAACAGATTAAAAGTACTGTAAACTACTGCATGTATGCACTAAAAATAAATATATTTAAAACTGTACATACCTCACGCAATACATTAAGACGAATGAAAATAAACTCCTGCTCAGAGCCAGGTATGGTGTCTGCAAATTCGTCATGCTGGGAAAATATAAAGACATCAGTAAATGGGGAAAAAAAAAAAAAAAAAACACCCCTTAAAAAATCTTGTTATTCCTAACCATATACTGGAACCATCATGGAAACTACCCTAAAGCTGAACTATACACATAAAATACAAAATATGTACAGTGGATAAAAAAAGTCTACAAATCCCTGTTAAAATGTCAGTTTCTGATTAATAATTTTATTTGGCGTAACAAACGTCCTCGTTTCACTTAATGAATCCTTTACCAATCACAAAGGGTGGGAGGTCTTGGTCTTCCCAATTTCTGGCTCTATTATCTGTAGGCCAGCTTAACACAACTATCGCAATGGGCGACCATTAACTCCCAAATCCCTTGGACCAGATTTGAATCTCAATCTATACGTCTGTTCTATTTACCGGGTATTTTATGGACAAAAATTCCCCCTCGCATGTTGTTGTCCCATAATTCTATTGCTGCCCACTCACTGATGCTTTGGTCCGGTTATAAAATGAAATCATATCTTCTGTCCCACCGGGTTCATCATTTTTTTGAAGATCCGAGGTTCACTATAGCATTCTCGTCTCCACAGGCGTTTCGTTGGTGGTATGATCATTTCTTTATCAGATTATCGAATTTTCAAAGAGGAGGGTCTTATAACACTTTTGAGATGCTAGGCACACTTTTTGATATCCCACTCCGGGAATACTATCGTTATATGCAAATTAGACTTTTTTATACACATTTTGATTTGACACCTTCGTCCCGGATTACTTTTTTCGAACGTACTAGCGTGACTCTCCTAGGGGCAGGGGTCTTATTTCTGATTTGTATCGTCTTTTCTCGGTAACTATCTATTCTTCACCCCCCTTATATAGACAGAAATGGGAGGCGGATAGTGGTGTCACTTTTTCTGAAGAGGATTGGGACTCCATGGTGAATAGTATACGTAAGAGCTCCATTTCTCTTTCTGTTCAGGAAACGGCCCTCAAAGTACTAACACGCTGGTATTATACCCCTTCTAGGCCGAGTGTCATGTTTCTGGGGACGTCCCACCTGTACTTACGAGGTTATGGCCTAGCTAGTACCTTGATGCACACATTTAGGGCTTGCCCAAGCCTTTCGTTGGTATGGAGCAGTCTCTGAAGTGGCCTCTACTGTGTTAAATAGGAGTCAGCACACACCTGCCATCATTTAAAGTGCCTCTGATTAACCCCAAATTCCAGCTATTCTAGAAGGTCTTTCCTGACATTTTCTTAGTTGCATCCTACAGCAAAAGCCATGGTCCAAGAGCTTCCAAAGCATCAGAGGGATCTCATTGTTAAAAGGGATCAGTCAGGAGAAGGGTCTAAAAGAATTTCCAAGGCATTAGATATACCATGGAACACAGTGAAGACAGTCAAGTGGAAAAAATATGGCGCAACAGTGACATTACCAAAAACTGGATGTCCCTCCAAAATTGATAAGATGAGAAGAAAACTGGTCTGGCAGGCTGCCAAGAGGCCTACAGAAATATTAAAGGAGCTGCAGGAATATCTGGCAAGTACATGTGACAACAATCTCCCGTATTCTTCAGATGTCTGGGCTATGGGGTAGTGGCAAGACGGAAGCCTTTTTCTACAAAGAAAAACCATCCAAGCCCGGCTAAAAAAATGTGTTATGCTCTGATGAAACCAAGGTTGAACGTTTTGGCCATAATTCCAAAAGATATGTTTGGCGCAAAAACAACACTGCACATCACCAAAAGAACACCATACCCACAGTGAAGCATGGTGGTGGCAGCATCATGTTTGGGGTTGTTTTTCTTCAGATGGAACTGGGGCCTTAGTCAAGGTAGAGGGAATTATGAACAGTTCCAAATACCAGTCAATATATTGGCACAAAACCTTCAGGCTTCTGCTAGAAAGCTGAACATGAAGAGGAAGTTCATCTTTCAGCATGACAACGACCCAAAGCTTGCATCCAAATCACCCCACAGATTTTCATTCCTTTGATCAGAAGAGGTCTGTGCACAGGAGATGCCCTCGCAATCTGACAGATTTGGAGTGTTTTTGCAAGGAAGAGTGGGAAAATATTGCCAAGTCAAGCATGTGCCATGTTGATAGACTCCTATCCAAAAAGACTGAGTGCTGGAATCAAATCAAAAAGGTGCTTCAACAAAGTATTAGTTTAAGGGTGTGCACACTTATGTAACCATATTATTTTAGTTTGTTATTTTTACTTCCCTCCACCTAAAAAATTTCAGTTTGTTGTTTAATGGAGTTGTACAGTTTATAGGCAACATTAAAAAGGTGGAAAAAGTTCTGAAAATTATTTATCGTGGTCTCATTTTTTTTACATCACAGAAACCTGACATTTTAACAGGGGTGTGTAGACTTTTTATATCCACTGTATATTTTTTATGCAACTGGCCCAAGTCTCAATGTGACTTGGCATTAGAATGTTATAAACCCCAAAACAGCATCATTCAGCTTGGGAAAGGACCAAGAGCCAAAAGAGGTGTAGTGTATGCCAGTGTGTTGACAAGAACACACCAATAGGAGAGATGTGAAGAGATACAGATCAGGTCACCAGTCTAGTGTTGCTCTTGCACTCTCCAATCAGAAGACTGAGAGTGGCGAGAGGACACCACTGTATTCAACTGAAAGTGACAAAATCCACCTGGCTTTGAAGTGTGAACGGGCCATGTACATCTCGTGACAGATGGTCAGAAACAAAACCTTTTGGCATGTACAACAGCTTTAATATATGTATTTGGACTGTTTAGTTTGAGTGGAATTTAGGTATAATTACAAATATTGGGCTTACTCATGTAAACAAAAGGAGATGAAAGTTGAGAGTAAATTTAAAGTGCCTGTAAAAGCTTGAGGTTTATCACCTTCATGCATTCTATGGGGCTAAGCAGTGCTGTGGTGCCCCCAGAACAAGCCACTTGGTATGGAGAAAGGGAGGGGCTGGGAGCGCCAGCAGGAGACCAGAGAAGAGGAGAATCATGGCTGCTCTGTGCAAAACCACTGCACAGAGCAGGTAAGCATGACATGTTTACTAAGAAAAAAAAAATTGCCTTTAATATCGGTTTCAAAGATCGATTTCAAGTCTTACCTCGCCTTTCTTCTCACGAGGCAATCCCTGACACTCCTTCAGTTCATGTCCAATTTGTGAGCACAATGGACAGGGTCTTTTTTTATCAGGCTTAAATTCTTCTCTTATGATCGTAAAGTTCACTTCATGGGTAGCTAGCCCAAGCATTATTAGATCAGCTGATTGAAAAAAACAAAAAACAAAATCATAAAAAAGGGAAGCTATAAGTCCATTAGGGCACAACCAGGAATTTGTACAGATGATGTCACAGGATCAACCTATTCATATGATTACTACAAAAGTGTACTTTACAGTTATTCCTGGCAAAGCTGATTCTCAGGGGGGGGGGGAAAAAAAAAAATCATCATCACACACTAAACTATACCTAGATGTATAGAAAACAAAAACCTCACATTTTGTAACAGACTTCCAGTTTTAATCAGACATTTCTAAAAGGCTTAACCTCATACCACACAATTCAACAAAACAGCTACAAGATGCAAATTAAGAAGTTTGCGGTTGGTAAAAATTTTTGTCAAAACACTGTCATTTATTCAGGGCTGGTGTTGTGTTGGGCTGAGATTTAGGAATAGCTTGATCATGTCATTTTCTGAAGCTGACCTATTAACTGCACAGAATGCTGTAATTAATAAAAACAAGCATAAACCGCACAATGGAATTAGTTTAATCTCCACATTATGCAGAAAGTCACAATTTAGTGCTTACCGTCAGCTCCGCATAAGCAGTGATGAGTGTTTGGGTCGTGATGAGGCTGTGCTGTTCGCAGAAGAGAAAGAGAAACTGTTATCATGGAAAACACCATGGGGAATATTCACTCCAATGTGCAGTGCTTCATACCTCTCTGTCTTCTGATGTAATCCATAATTTTGTGCTCCCCTTCGCCTGGTGCACTAGCATCCGATAAAATGACCTACAAAGAAAGGAGTATAGAGAAAGTGAAGGCAACAACACATTCTTTACATTTACAGAGCAATAATAATGCTATCCAGGAAACCGTGCCATTATGCTAAACTTTTAATAACATCACCATGAATCTTCTGCAGACAGACTGAACTGTGCTCTCAGAGTCTCTGCGCCAAGATAGCCTCTTGCCACTCATTCAGAATTACATTTTTCCCCAGACAGAAAGTATCCAGGAGACAGCAGAGTGTGTATAACTGCAGTTATTTCTAACTGAATGGATCCTGGGAAGCCAAAAACAAGGCCTCATGCACACTGGACATCAAAAACCTGCTTTTAAAGGGTGTTAGAAGTTTTTCTGCCTCTAAAACGCACCTCCACGTTAGCCTGTGTGTCCATGCACACAAACGCTTTTACAGGCGATTAGAGACAGGAGCATTTAGGGGGAAAAAAAAAAAAAAAAAAACAACCAAACAAAAAAAACCCAAACCACAACATCAGGAGAGGAGTTCAGGAGAGGAGTGCTTCGATACAAAAAACGCCCAATACGCCTAAACACCAAGTGTGTTTAGCACTTGAGCATTCATTCAATAGCCAGAATAAATGAATATTCTGGCCAATAGAATGAACACCGAAATGCTTCACGCATCTAAACACGCTTGCAAAATGTGGCTTTAAGCACTTTTTTTTTTTTATATAAACGCTTCCTTTCTCCTGTCAGAAGAAAAGGCTTTCTGAAGAGCTGAGCAAACGCACTGTGTGTGAGGCCTAAATGTGCTTAAAGATATGTTACCCCTGTATTTTTAGTGGGAATCTGATGAGTATTTAAAACTCCCTAACATGTATAATATCAGGTTTAGGAACATCTATCTGAAAGCACATGATTTTGTACAGCAGATTGGCCCAATAAAAACTTAAAATGTTGCAATTGTGGGAAAATTGGGGAGAGGGTAGGCATGCTACATCATTCCTTGTGTATTCAGGGCCCATTCACACTTGTGCAGTCTGATATGAGGGATTAACATGCATTATGTTGTGCATTAAATGGGTGTTCCATTAAGGCAATTTATTCATTTGAATGGGCTCCAAATGCACCACCACAGACCTAAAACACACATCTGCACTATATTTGCTAACACAACACACGGTAGTGCACTACCGTGCATTTTGGTCTACTGCAACGTGACTTGGTGTGTCATGCAAAATAAACAGAACTGCAAAGCACTGTACACGAGTTTCTGTAAAGCACGTGTTACCATAACGCATATATGCGAAGCTGGCTTTACAGGAGACCGTTCACAACAGAGATACAAGACAGCTCACATCTCTTCTTTAGGTATGAGATTCTACAGAAAATGGGGCAAATTGGTGAACTGGTTCCAAACTTTGCCAGTGTCCAGTCACTTGAAGTCTATGACCCAGTGAATATCCAATCTGTGTGGTTTATTGTACAATTAAGATATCAGTTTTGTACTAATCCAAAGCAAACAAAAGAAACCCCCCCCCCCTCCCCAAGTGATTGACACTGTTCTAACAAAGCTCTTAAAAAAACCTCCAAAAAAAACCTTTGCTCTAAAAACACAAAAGATATAATACTATCTAAAATTACAGAGAACTGGCCCTCCAGAAATAAACTAAAACAAAAAAAAACTTACCGTAATGTTTTTCCAACCAGGGTCATTGTTAAGACGATCTGCAACATAATAGCGAAGGCATTTTGCCAGGTTGTCCATAAACTCTGTTCCCTACCAATGGGAAAACAGTGTTACTAAACATTTAAAAGGGTTCACGACAGAGATAAACATTAACGTAAGTGTAATTAATACAGTAAAGATAGTATTTATTAAGGCACTACTCAGTAGATGTATAAGCATACAATGATAAGTCTTCCCCCTCCTCACCGATCATCCTTGCTGTCCTGTTGCCCACATGTGATTGATTCCCCGTGCTCTCCCTGTGTGCCCAGGCACCCTGCCGCGAAGAGGACATACCAGGACATAAGGAGTCAGATGAGTCCATGCTGGGGGTCCAAACCTAGACTACAAGAGGGGGAGAGGATCGGTGGATCACTGTCATACACTCAGCTGGCCGGAACATGAAACAGCCACGGGGATCCTCTGCCCACAACTGAAGAAAGTCCTGTGTGCAGACTCCTATGGTGACATTAGCTTGAGCGCCAGTCGGGTCAGAGTGGAGGATCCCAGCGGTCATTTCATGTTCCACCCGAGTCTATGACAGCAATCTAGAGGCTGTCCACCAATCCTCTCCCCCTCCTGGAGTCTAGGTTTGGACCCCCAGTACAGAGTCTCCAGCCTCACTGCAGTGCTCTGCTTATGCTTTTTGTATGAGTAGAACAACTGGAGTTTTAATAAAGCTTTTTAACCTTTTAGACCCCTTTCACACACCTCCAGTGGATTTGCCTGCTCACGGGGGATCTGTCCGCTGATCCCCACTGAGCAGGCAGACGACAAGTCTGTGTCTACTCCGTTTATGCAGAGTGGATGCAGACACAGCCCACTCTCCTCTATGGGCAGTAAGATGTAAAATGGACCACCTGTCCATTTACATCCGACTTCTCCTCCAATCCGATAGACAGATGGGGAACAGATCCCCCACCTGTCTGCAGGCAGATGTAAACGAACACATGTCCATTTACATCTGCTGCTGCATAGAGGGCAGTGAATGGTCCGAGTGGTCCACCCATGTGAAAGGGGCCTTACTCAGCACTATAAGCTTGCGTGGTCTCTCCTTCCCTCCATTCCTTTGGATACCTTCTAGTGCTAGTTTCAATGTTTAGCAAATGGGCTACCCATTCCTCTGTTTTATGTTTCAATTCATGGTCTATTTGCTGCTTTTTTATTGTTTGAGTCACCCCTCAGCACTGCCGATTACTATAGTACTTGGGAGATTTTTTCTTTACATAGCTGAGATTTTTTCTATTGGAGTGAGTGCTATATATTGGCCGTCTTTTGGGGCTTTGCTGCCATTTAATTTTTTTTTTTTTTTTTTTTATTATGAACAGATGCCTGTCTCCTTTTCATTCATCTGCAGTGCAGCGGAGGCTGCAGAGAAAGAACTGAAGAACCTGTGTCCTTAAATTTCTCTCGGTCTCAAAAGTGAGATGTCAGTGGTCTGTTTAGACCCGATATTTCACCTAAGCACCACCTCCCCCTGACAGTGTTAAAGTAAAAATTTTTTTAAAAAAGTAAGGGCTCATGCACACGGGTTTATTTGTGCAACTGGAGCTGTCTGTTACTCCAAGAGGATGCAGCACTGTATGAACACAGCCACAGGTCCTAATTTGATAAGTGTACAGGTGATGGTGAGTGGCCCAAATATACACAGTCAGTGTGTATTTGGGGCCCCACACACACACGTCAAATTAGAACCTGTGGCTGTGTATGTATAGCTGCTGTGTCCCCACAGAACAACATAGGCTGCCTGCACACAGCAATAGCTACTTAAAAACAAAGAAAACAAGACCGAAAACCTCATTTACCCACAGAATTTAGTTAGGTTAGGTTTGTGCCCACTAATAATGATTTTAGTGTATTTTTAGTGAAAATATTGTCTTGATATTTCAGGGGTGGGGGGCCCTGTCAAGTAGGCTGTATGTGACCCGGTGATTTTTAAGCAGCAGCCCTAACCCCCCCTGGCCCCAACACCTACACGCACAAAGGATGACCCCACAGAAGTCTATGGCATTCTATTGCGCACATGAAAACCATAGGAAAAAAATCCAGGCCAGCAGAAATGTACACAATACGGTGGGCAATGGCTTTAAGTGCGATAAAGCTGGGTAAACATGGCTTGTGTTTTCTTCCATTCAGCCAGTCAAAAAAAGTTAAAAATAAATAAAACCCCAAAAACATTCCTCGATCCACACAAGTTTGGTGGATGCAGGAATCCCACTGCTAGTACATTGTATTTGCACAGCAGAGACTCTCAGCTGTCAAAATATACTAATCACCACTGCAGCCGACTGGCTGCAAGTCGCTGTTGGAAGCTTTTCCAGCAAGTTCATTCAACAGAAGCCAATCAAATGGGCTGGGCTACACAGATTGAAATTTGCCCGTTCCCTGCTGAACTTACCAAACTTCAATCCATGTACCCACCTTTAGCATTGTTTTGTGGGGCAGGTCAGGTGGAGCAAACAGACTTTGAAAGTACACTTGCCCTTTGAGGAATGAGGGAGAGCCACAGTGTTGGAGCTGCCCATGCACCATATTTCAGGTAGGATTCTGAACATTCAAGTATCAGAGAATATAAATATATATCTCTATCTATCTACACACACATACATACATCACAATCAATTTCGTAGATCATTTTTAAAACTGAGATTTAGTGCCTTGAGAAGCAGCTGAACAATCTTAAACCTATGCGTGTTACTTACAGGTGTAATACAGTTGCTATCAAATCGCTCCTTTATCTCATCAGGAGGCAAAAAACCGCCTGGTTAAAAAACAAAACCGAGTGTTAAAATAAGTATTTCTGGCAAAAGTATAAAACATGTTCAAGGTTGACACAAACATCTGAGAAATGCAGTTCATGTCTGAAGGAGTTCTGTACTGAAAAGCATGAGAACTGCCATTAGTAACCTATTTCACAAAAAATGTAAATTGCCCGACTGAATTCAAATATTTTAAGTCTCTATCCCATTACAAATATAGATCATGTTAAGTCAGAACTCCAGATCCGTATTCTAGTTGGAGATCAGTGACTTAGATTATGCAGAAGCCACCAGACCACCCTCCGACTGCCAGGCAGCTCTAAATTTTCAGAAGGCCACCAACTCCTGTCAAAATATCATTGCTGATTCTGCAAATGCTAGATGCCTTTCATTGTAGAATTTGTCCTCAACACTTTTGAGTTACTAACCCAAAATAAATATGAAGCCAAGTTACAGCACTGTGATAAAGTATTTGCCCCCTTCCGGATTTTTTTTGTTTGCATATTTGTCACACTTAAAATGTTTCAGATCAACAAAAATTTTAATATTACACAAAAATAACCCGAGTAAATACAAAATGCAGTTTTGAAATGATTTCTTTTATTAAAAGGAAAAAAAGCTGTCCAAACTTGCCTGGCCCTATGTGAAAAAGGGACCTAATAACTAGTTGCGCCACCCTTGGCGGTGGCAACACCTGCAATTAAGCATTTGTGATAACTGGCTTCTTTGCAGAATTGTGTTAATTCAGCCACACTGGAAGGTTTTTAAGCATAAACGGCCTGTTTAAAGTGTTACTAAACCCAGGACCCTGCAATCACTATATCTAGTCTCCCATAGTACACACAGAATGGAAATGTAATTATCCTCTCCTACTAATTATGCCATCTCATCAGCAGTTAGAGCAGAATTGTGACTTTTATCAGTGTCCAGCAGAGCACTGGTTAAAGCTTGTATGAGGTGGACTTGCTGGTGTGTTTTGGATCATTGTCCTGCATAACCCAAGTGCGCTTGATATCACGAACTGATGGCCGTACATTCTCCTTTTAGGCTTTTGTGGTAGATGGCAGAATTCATGGCTCCATCAACTATGGCAAGTTGTCCAGGTCCTGAAGCTGCAAAGCAGCCCCAGACTATCACACTACCACCACCATGTTTGACTGTCGGTATGATGTTCTTTTCATGAAATGCTGTGTTCATTTTATCCCAAATGTAATGGAATGCACACCTTCCAAAAAGTATAACTTTGGTCTCATTAGCCCACAGAATATTTGACCAAAAGTCTTGGGGATAATCAAGATGTTTTTTGGTCAGCAGTGGCTTTCACTTTGAAACTCTCCCATGGATGCCATTTTTGCCCAGTCTCTTATTGTTGACTCTTGAACACGGACCTTAACGAAGGCAAGTGAGTGCACCCTTTAGATGTTGTTCTGGGTTCTTTTAGGATCTCCTGGATGAGTTGTGTTCTTGGGAGTAATTTTGGTAGGCAGCCTCTCCTGGGGAGGTCCAACACTGTTCAAGTTTTCTCCATTTGTGTAAAATGGCTCTCACCGTGGTTCGCTGGAGTGCCAAAGCTTTAGAAATGGCTTTGTAATCCTCTCCAGACTGATACAGGTCAATTATGTGGTTTCTCATCTGTTCTTGAATATCTTTAGATTGCAGCATGATGTGTTGCTTTGAGATATATTTTAGCGTGCTTCACTTTGTAAGACAGCTTTTGTTTAAGTGATTTCTTGATTCAACAGGTTTGGCAATCAGGCCTGGGTGTGGCAAGTGAAATTTAACTCCGCTTTACAAAACAAGTATGGTTAAAAATCACAGTTAATTTATGATTTAGAAAGAGGGGCAATTACTTTTTCACATAGGACCAAGCAGGTTTGGACAGCTTTTTCCCCTTAATAAATAAACCATCATTTAAAAACTGCATTTTGTATTTACTCGGGTTATCTTTGTGTAATATTAAAATATGCTTGATAATCTGAATTATTTAAGGGTGACAAATGCAAAAAAAATAAATAAAACCCACACAACAGGAAGGGGGCAAATAATTTTTCACAGCATTGTATTTCCTAATAAGCATATTCTTCCAGGGCAGTAGTTCAGTACATTTATTTTAGGGAAGCAAAAAAAAAAAATAAAAAAAAAAAAAAATCACATTTAAAAGAGAAGTGTTGTAGACGAAAATGAAACTGTGTTCTCTGAATGGTGCTCCTGCCAACCGAGCAACTTTCTATGTTCACCAAGCAGCAGGGTAGCTGCTCTCATAGGACCCGTATACTAGCAGCGACCTTAAGCAAGAAGGAAGTCCTGGGTCTCAGTTCCACCTTTGTCCCTCTGCAAAACCAGAAAGGGCACCTTGCCTCTGCAAGAAGCATCACCTTGTGAGTGAGTAAAAGAGGAATGTATCTAATAAACTCAAACAGCAAACTTTGAAGCGCAAAGAGTCAGATTCAGATCCTGCAGAGCCGTAGGGAAATAGAGGGCCTTGGTTGAGCTACGAAAAGGTCTTAATCAACAAATTAGAGGCAGACACCTGACACCTAATAGTGCTCAGATCCAAAAATTATGTCCCCAGTTTGAGGAAGAAGAGAATTTATGACAAACTGTTGGGGTAAAAGCCCCAAGACACAAACCAATCGAAATTTGCCATCCAAGACCAAAGAAAGACCTTGCAAGGAGTAGGGTTTGGAATTGTAGAAAAACAACATCCATGCCATTATAACCACTGACTGTAAAGAAGGATGGCAAGTCTGTCTTTGAGATACGACTTGACAATCAGGCAGAGCCCACAGAGAATCTGCCATGAGTTTTACAAAGGTTGGTGTACCACATCCACTTGGGAGAATGTGGAGCAATGAGGATCACTGAAATTCCCTCCAGCTCAATCCTGCAAAGCAGATGAGGAAGACATTTCAGGGGAGAAAGGCATAAAATCAGAGTGTACTGATCCCATGGAACCACCAGAGTATCCACTAGCTTCAGTCAGAGGAACCCTGCACCTGGAGATAACCGGTCTAATTTGTTGAAGCTGGAGGCTAGATGGTGTACAATCCTGTGTCCGCCACCTGCAAAACATGTTCTGAATACCTCTGGGAGTAAAGGCCCTGCCTTGCTTATCTGGAGGCCATTATCAGACTACCATCTGTAAATGTGTAGTGATACAAGGTTGGTGGTGAAAAGCCAAGAAAGGGGGGCAGGGAGCAAACACTTAAACCCAAGCGTCTGAGATGCAAGCTGTCCAAGCTTCCATAAACTAACAAATCCCCACTTTGCCAAAAAAAGGGAGCACAAAGCTTTGCACAGGATAGAGGTCAGAGGATTTGCCAGACTTTGAGCGAAGTGACTTACAGGTGGATGGGCAGCTAAGCTTGGGGGGGGGAGAAACAAAAGACATTTCTTATAAAGAGGAAGAAGACTGAAGTCTGAGGAAGATGGGTGCTCTTGCCATTAAGCAGCATACTTGATGCAGTCAAGGAGCTGTTGCCGCTTGAAGGCCATGTGGATCAAAACACGTTTTACACTGGGGTTTCCCAGTCCAGCACCAGACAAGAGAAACATAAGAGAAAAAAAAGACGAAACGCAGTTGCAGTTTGATCTAGTAGGCGATTGTGACCAGTCAGATGATCTGAGAAAGTAAGGTCACAGCCAGACTCAGATGAAGTGCAGGGCTGACAAGAAGAAAAAATAAAACAAAAAACAAAACATAGCTCTAGAAAGGGCTTCCAAGTATTCATCTGTTAGGTCCTTAATCACTTCAGCTCTCACATCTGCACACCCCCTTATGGACCAGAGCAATTTGTCGATTTTTGCTATGGGCCTATTGATTTTTTTTTTTTTTTCTTCTTTCCTTAGGACAAAAGAAAGCTCTCTTTTCATGACACGGTTTTGCAATTTTTTTGGGCAATCCTACTAAAGACAAAAATTTAGCAAAACTGGAAAATGCACTTTCTAGTTTGATCAGTCCCAGTTAAAAAAAAAAAAAAAAAAAAAAAAAAGTGTATTACTGTAGATACAAAGAATTGTTAATAAAAGCTTACTAAAAGGTTTTGGTTTTTTTTTTAAATGCATACAATAGGTTTAAAAAGGAAAACAGGAATTAAAAAGAAAATTACACACATTTTTTAATTGTCATGTTGCTTTAACTGAAATCTTATGCAGATACAAGCTCATCCCTTTAAGCTGATGATGAAACAGATTAGATACAAAAAGGTATTAGGGCAAGTTCACACATATGCGAACTGGATGCGTTTTGAACAGCATCCAATTTGCATGACATGTGAAAGAACATTGCTTTCTATTGTGCCTGTTCACATATGTCCAGTGCAGATTCAGTGCAAATTGGGGAAAAAAAAAAAAAAAAGAAAAAAAAAAGGAGTCCTGTCAGTTCTCCAACCAGTGCACATTCAGGCCCATTGACTTCTATGGGAACGCTTCTGTCATTCAGTTGAACAGGATAAAATCCTGACCTGATCCCGATGCAAACCTGATCTGAAACACTGCACAGCTACTTTGTAAAAACAGAGCTTCAACTTGCACTGCACTTAATGTTATTTTCTGTCTCACTATCTGAACAGTGTTTATAAACACTGGGCCATTTTTTTTTTTTTACAGTAACATCTACCCCTCTGTAATTTTAACAGAAATTGCAGGGTAGTGTGAGGGGGAATGACAGTGGGACAGAACACTATACATGTCCTGTGTACTGTGGAGTACGCCCAGTGTCCACTGGTTAAAGACAGACATGTCCCCTTACCAAGTCAGGACAATACTGAAACCATAGTCAGAAGAGACCACTTCTGCACCGTTTCCACACTAAGCTGATACAAGGCTTAAATATGAGAGTCACCATGCCCTAGGAGTGTTTAATGAGCCAAGACTTGAATCAGCACTGGTGGAAGTAACAGGTTCATCTTCTAGTTTCAGAATGGTACACACTGCATTGAAAAACTGATAAAAACGGCCTTCTTTAATGTGGGAATAATAGCAGTGCACTGACTCTTCAGGAAAAAGCTAATCATTCAAGGACTGTTGCAACTCCGTCTCTGCAGCCAATGGCTCAGAAGCTGCCAAGACAGCAGGCAACTCCAAAGTAGAATCTGTAGAAGAGGGTTAGGGTGCGCACTTGTGGCCTCTGCAATCAGTAGTAAATGACTGGGTAATTTCAGTCATAAAATCTTGCATGATCATGTCAAAAACACCAGCATCAGAATTGTAAGGCGGCACACTGAAAAAAAGCTTCAACAACGTTAGCAGAATGAAAGCCAAGAGCACCCAGCACTGAGAGACTGCTCACCCTCCCCTGTGTCTAGAATCAGGCTCTAGGCTCAGGAAAAGAGGCAAGGTCTTGGGTACTCATAAAACCCAGATAGCAGGGTGCAGCTGGGGGTTGGATAGCCAGAGGTGACCAAAGTCAACTGCAGGCAGTCAGCAGGAATGGATAAAAGTACGATGTTCCACATGGCTTTTTTCCCCAAGCAGGAGTAGCAATGGGGAGATGCTTCAACACTGAATAGTGGGAAGAAGCAAAAGTGCGCATGTGACACTTTGCCCAGCTGACAGCGGTTAGTCCCATAGCAAACCTGTTAGGAACAAGGAATAAAAGGTGCCAAGCAACCAAAGTAGTTAAGGTAGATTCCGCTGCTTGACCCCAAACACTTGCTTTGTCTCTTCAAGTTCATAGAGCTGTTTATTTAGCATTTTATCAAGAAGTGAGAACTAAAGGCTCTAATGAGATCATTGGAAGAGAAAGATGATTATGGATGCAGAGCTTCAGTCACCAGATCCCACTGGGTTAGTACCTTTACCATGTTTTCAGTGGAAAAGCTTAAAATGTGCACACAAAATACGCTGCAGCAAAAGCAATAAGATAGGGCATATATGTGAGGGATATAGGAATATGACGTTTGCTTGATGTCCTACATCAGGAACCTATTCTGTATCAATAGGATCATTGAAAGGCACAAAATGAAAATCACAAGAAGCAAAACATTTATATTGGCCATTTGCGTACCTTTGGACAGAACTTCCTCACGTATTCGATTTTTTTCCTCAGTCAGTTCCACCCCCTCCTTGGATGCCCTAAAACGTCTTGAACGCTGTTGATTCATTTTAGCCCTAGGTGCCTACAGTGTAAAAAGCAAGATTAATATCCAGACTGCCTATTAGGAGGAATTTCAAGTATAACTTATGTGCAATTCCTAGGTTTGTCAGTAATGTGTCTCTTTAAAAGGCTAAGTTCACCCTTTGGAGCATGTTACAAATCACACCTGTATTTAGGGTGTAACATGCAACAGCACATTCAGCAACAGCCCTTGATTCTTCCCCCACCCCAGACAGTGGGTGGGAGCTGTTCATCCTGCACCCGCAGTAACAATTTAAAAACAGCTTGGCTGTTCGGGGTTCCACCCACACAGGCAAGTCATTCATTCACAGGAATCTGAATGAACTTCAAGTCTAGTTTTCCACCACAGCAGACTGGACTACTAAAGCACTGAATGGCATGAACTGCAAGGGTGTTGGTGAGTGCTCTAGTACTTTGACACTTCCTACAGTTTTCAAACAGAAAACCCGTACACACGTATGTGTAGAAAAGCTGTAGGCAAGGAGAAAAAAAAAAACTTTTTTACCTGCAAAACATGTGCATTTATTATTTCAAAAATGACCGTAGCCTTTAGGTAAGGATAACAAAGTTACTAATGTGACTTTCAAAAGCACAGTGATACAAACATCTGTTTATTCAACAAAATTCATGTTTTTATTCAGACAGCTGCCAAACGGTTATACTAGATGCTCCTTTTACTGACCTGCCAAGTGATTTCCAATGTTGGATCTGAAATGGTGTACATAAGTAGTAATTCATTATGCCCTGTTTTCAGGCTGACCTTTTGCATTACACACACAGTTAGGCTGTGCAGACACAGTGGCATATGACTTGGCCAATACCTGCCTCAATAAGAATGTCTCTATCTAGTATGAAAATCAGATTTGCCAACATAGCAATTATTAGAAACCCTGAAATAAAACATACTCCATTACATCAGGCACTTACCACACCATCAATGGCCATGTACAGCAACCTTCTTGGTCTCACAATGTTAAATAATCTGTCAATATACTCGAAAATGGCAACCATCATCTCATCCTCGTTTTTAGGTGCTGGTCTGAAATTTCAAAGAAGTTATGTTTAACTTTTATATTACTGTAAAAATTTTCTTTCCAGCTGTAAGAAAATTTAAATACTTACTTATCTTCAGGATGGGTACAAGGATGAATGATGCCATTCATATCCAAGTACAAGTTGTCAAATTCCACATCATTAGGATTAGGTTTACTTGTATCCACTGGAATCTTGATGCCATTGCATTCTTTAGGCTGAAAAAAATTACACATTTTCAGTTATTCACCAATGTTGGTATTTTTTAATGTATTGAAAGACATTTAAAGTAGCACTACAACTGGTAATTTTTTGCCAAAAAAAAAAAAACAAAAAAAAAAAAAAAAAAAAACACATTTCTAACAACTGTAAGGGTAGATTTGGACGTGCGTCTAAATCTAAGTCTCCTTTGAAGCCTGATCGGTGGTTCAGAGGAAATTTACAGGCAGTAAAGAGGTGATGTGATGCCTCCTCACTGACGGTTTTAACCTAAATTTTTGCTGACAAACAGCAATTACGATGCGTTTGCATGGGTGTGAAGGATCGCAACCACGGCATCTAAACGACCCAGTGTACTGCATATCAAAGCTTAAGGGGGAGCAGTTAGAGGTGGTAAAAAAAACACAGCTCAACCACTTTTTTTTACTGACCCCCTCCCCCAAAGCACGTAGCCTACGTATTGCATATTATCCATTACGTTTGCCTTTTGTGTCCCATTGGAGAGATTTCCCTTCACTTTCTGTCCCTTATCCAAAACAGGAAATCCTTCCAAAGTGACACAACAACTAGTTGTCCCCAGGGCCACTAGAACTAAAGTCCTCACTGGAAGATTTCCCCTATATTCCTGTTTTGGGGACAACCTAAAATTCAGGATTTTTTTTTACTTTCACTTTTGATGACCATGGTAAACAGGACAGAGAGGTTGAATCTCCCTAATGTGGCAGAGACTACAATAAAAACCCAACGGGTGACCTAAGCCCTCACTGCTCTATCCAATACGGGGAAAAAAAAGTTTTGGTGGCCATACAATCTGATTCTGTACAATTTCCTTTAGATTTGCCAATACTATGCAACAGGAGGACCCACTTACAGTATCTATCCATTCAGTCAGTCTGTATCCAATCAGGTAGGCCCTTGCACTACATCAGGGGTGTCACACACCCGCGGCCATGTGGCACCAGAGTGTGTAGCATGTGGCCCAGGCTCATGTGGGACGAGGGTGATGCCATGCAATCCTAGGTGATCGCAGTATAAGTAGTAGTGGGTACCTGTCAAATTCGGGTACCCCCTTCCCCCTATCCCCAAAGGTGCCAATCCTTAACAGGGAATGGGGGACAAACCCTGAAGCGGAACTTCCCCTTTTGGGTGGAGCTCTGCTTTAAAAGATAAGTTCACCTTTTGGACAAAAATAATAAATGCACTTTTTCTGCAGGTAAAAAAAAAATGTGCATTTATTATTTTTGTCCAAAAGGAGCCTGGAAAGCATTGCATCAGTGATCAGTAGATCGCTGATGCCATGCTGGTCTCCTGCAGACCTGTCCGAATATCTGCTTGCCGTACGAGATGCATGGACAAGCAAATATTCTGACAGGAAGCTTGAATGAACTACCATGCTGCCATGGTAGTTAATTGAAAAACTACAAGCCGACAACTGCTAAGGCTGTTGGGACTTGTAGGCACTCATTCACAGAACTCTGAATGAGTGATGTGGTTGTGGGTGGAGCCCCACACGCCATGCTATTTTCAAATCTGATAGTACAGGGAGAAGTTTCCCCATACTACCTGTCGGGGGAGGGTGGGCGGCAGGTGCGGCTGAGGCTATGGGAACATGTAACATGTTCCAAAGGTGAACTTATCCTTTAACTTCCCTGTAGTCTAATTATGTCAATAGTTTTGAATGGGAAAGCGGTACATTGTTTTGCATGGAAATTTGTGGTTTTATATTGTAGGCCTGTAATTCTTAGGAATAACTCACTTAAATCTGTCCAAACAGTCTAGTAAACATCCTGGGTATAATAAAAAAGTTTGAAAAACTAAATCATAAATTATAATATAATAATAAAAAAAAAATACATTTAATTCAATAATGTAATCAAACCAAAAACACTGCAATTTGAAATAGAGCACCAAGTTCGCACATCACTGAGCTCAGTCACAGAATTTTGGATAGAGTGGGGATTGAGTAGACCCCAAGTTAATTTTTTTTTTTTTTTTTTTATTGTGTCCGCATTCACCCCTTTATTTGAACCCTTGGGGATTACGTGGAGTTTGGTGATCATTGTGACTGAAAAAGCAAGCAAGGAAAAAAAACCTAAAAATTTTAGAGGAACAAAGTCAAAAGAGGTAAAGAAAAAAACCGGTTCCTGGGTCTATAGTTACATAAGTTATATCTTCTGGGGCTCAAAGTGTAAATCTGATCTTAGGGCAGACGGTAAGGTAGCCATCTTGAGAGTGCTCAGTAGAATATAAAACTAGGGTCAATTTTACAAAGGGTCAATTAACCTATCAGCATGTCTTGGAGTGTGGGAGGAAACCAGAGTATGCAGGGGAAACCCAAGTAAGCACAGGGAGACCATGCAAACTTCATGTAAATAGTGTTCTGGCCAGGATTTGAACCAAAGACCCCAGTGCTACAAGGCAAAAATTGTCGACTACTAAGCCATATGGGGGTTTGTTTTGTTGGAGTGTGCAAAATCAAGCTACTTCTGCATAGAAAACAATCAGCTTCCAGGTTTTATTGCCAAAGCTTAATTGAACAATCTGAGGTTGGAAGCGGATTGGGCTATGCGGAAGCGAGCCCGATTTTGCACTCTCCAGCTTTAGTAAATAAACCTTTATGTGTCTAATGCCTCAGTTATAAAGACAATGACATACAGTTGCAAGAAAAAGTATGTGAACCCCTTGGGATTACGTGGAGTTTTGCATGAATTGGGCATAAAATGTGCTCTGAACATCATCTAAATCACAACAATTGAAGAACACAGTCTGCTGAACATACTACACAAACATTAGATGTTGCCATGGTTTAATTGCACATAACATGTAAACATTCACAGTGCAGGGAGGAAAAAGTATGTGAGGCCCTAGCTTAATGACTTCTCCCAGAGCTAATTGGAGCCAGGAGTGAGCCAACCTTGACTCCAATCAGTGTGATGATATTGGATGTATTGCTGACAGCTGTCCTGCCCTTAAAAAACACACACCTGTTTTGGGTTTACTGGTTTCAAGAAGCACTGTCTGATGTGAACCATGCCTCGCAGAAAAGAGCTGTCAGAAGACCTACGATCAAGAATTGTTGACTTGCATGAAGCTGGAAAGGGTTACAAAAGTATCTCCAAAAGCCTTGATGTTTATGTGTCCACGGTAAGACAGACTGTCTACAAATGGAGAAAGTTTAGCACTGTTGCTACTCTTCCTAGGCGTGGTCGTCCTGTACATTTTTGTTGACACATCTTCAATAAGGAAAACATTAAACAAGAATGGAGTACATGGGAGGACACCACGGAGGAAGCCATTGCTGTCCAAAAAGAAGACTGCAGCATGTTTGACGTTTGCAAAAGAGCACCTGGATGTTCCACAGCACTACTGGCAAAATATACTGTGGACAGATGAAACCAAGATTGAGTTGTTTGGGAAAAACACACAACACTATGTGTGGAGAAAAAAAAGGCACAGCACACCATCAAAACCTCATCCCCACTGTAAAACATGGCAGACAGAGCATGATGGTTTGGGGCTGCTTTGCTGCCTCAGGGCCTGGACGGATTGTTGTCATTGATGGGAAAAATGAATTCCAGAGTTTATCAAGACATTTTGCAGGAAAATGTACGACCATCTGTCCACCAACTGAAGCTTCGCAGAGGATGGGTGATGCAACAGGACAATTTCAACAAAACAATGGCTCTTGCAACTGAAATAGTTTTTGAAGAGGAGTGGTCCAAAATTATCCAGATCGTTGTGCAGGGTCTGATCTGCAACTACAGGAAACGTTTGGTTGATACTGTGAATGTTTACATGTTATGCTGCAATTAAACCATGGGGCAACATCTAATGTTTGTGTAGTATTATGTTCAGCAGACTGTGTTCTTCTATTGTTGTAAAAAAAAACAAATAAAATATTTAGATGGACGGTGCATTTGACATTTTGCAGGAAAATGTACGACCATCTGTCCACCAACTGAAGCTTCGCAGAGGATGGGTGATGCAACAGGACAATGACCCAAAGCATACAAGTAATTCAACAAAACAATGGCTGCAACAGCACAGAATATGCCTTCTGGATGTTTGAAATGCTGTGGCATGACCTTAAGAGAGCGATTCACACCAGACATCCCAAGAATATACACTGAAATAGTTTTGTGAAGAGGAGTGGTCCAAAATTACTCCAGATCGTTTGTGCAGGTCTGATCTGCAACTACAGGAAACGTTTGGTTGAGGTTATGTCAACCAGTTATTAAGTCCAAAACATACTTTTTCCTCCCTGCACTGCAATGTTATGTGCAATTAAACCATGGCAACATCTAAAGCAGAAATTTTGTAACTTAGATACGTTCAGAGCACATTTTATGCCCAATTCATGCAAAACTCCACCTCCCAAGGGGTTCACATACTTTTTCTTGCAACTGTGTACATTTAAACAGTTTCCAGCATTTATGCATTTAGATGCATTTAGAGCACACAGAATTCTTTGTGACCAGGTGCAGATTAAATACACTACAGGTTTATGCACATGGCTGATTAGGGCCATACGCTGCCAGATCAGTACATTACTGCGGCAGGTTTGGCCAAGTGTTTGATCATTTGTGGACAGGAAGCCTGTACAAATCTGACAGGCTGACACCGTCTGAGGCTAGTCTCACATAATCTCACAGCAGCAATTACTGTTGGTTAGGAACAGATGAGGCCCTGTATGAAGACAGTTCATATTCAGGGGCACATCTCCATAGGTAAATCTCTCCATGTGTGATTATATGTGAAGAGTGTCTGGCCAGTCATTGATTTATACAGGCTTCCTGTACACTGCTGATCAAACATGTGGCCGTACACGCTATGGCCTAGGCACTGAAAGGCTCTAATCAACTGTTTGAGCTCTTAAGAAGTCAAAATGCACATAAATGCAAGCACATTTAAAATGTAGAAGAACTCTCTCGGAAAGAAAAATTTCATTTCTACTTCCCCATTGATTTCTTCTGTTTAAAGTGTTATTAAACACTCAGAT